TTCTTGTATCTATACTAGGCAACATGTTGACTTAGACTGACATCCCGGCAGGCCTAAGTGTGAATCCAAACCTTGCCACTAGCTAACTCCAGTATATTGTGAGCCACAGACCTTCCCTGGCCTCAACCTTTTTATTAAAACATAAAAGTAATTTCACTTTGTGACTTTTATGGTGTTTTGGACTGTAATTCTAAGCTCCGATAAATGATATTGAGTGCAAAGTATGATGAAAATAATCCAAGCTTAATATCAGGGCACTAGCAACAAAGGAGTGAAATCAAGTTCAATAAATAGATTGACTCTTTATTACACACACTGTGGGGGGAGGAGGTATACAATGTGAATCAAGCCAATTAAGCTAATTTTGTGTTCTTTTCTGATCTTTTAGAACATGTTATAAGCTGCATATCTTATGAAAACAAAGCTCACATCCTTTTATAACAGAAAAGGTTCCAATCATTACCTATCTTTACACTCCTTCTTGTCTGTACATGTATGACTCTCGGGTGTTACTAGAAACTAAAATCTACAAACGAATATATCACAAAATATTCCATCAAAACCCCTACACTTTAATTCTAATCCCACACTTTATCATTTAAAAAAATTATACACAATTCCCTTAGTTTTGGGGGCCTCATTTGCAACTGAAAGTAACGGCCACATGGAAGACCAATGGGAAGAGTCTGTAAAATAATTTAAGTGAACATACAATAAACTGCTGCAGAAAATGGAACCTAACTTTGCTGACATCTATTATTTTAGTAGCATACATGAATCTGATTCCTAACACAAGAAATGATTTCTGAATATTAAAAGTATTGGGTTAGAGATGAATTCAACAAATGACTGAAAGCCTGGAGGTCTTCAGGTCTGTATATTTATCATGGTCTTTAGAAGACATTAAACTATGAAAGAGGCAAGATCTCTGATACATCAAAAATACTCATGACACGATCTAGACTCTTCTATAATTAGAGATCCATATCTCTTCAGGTATATGGACTGCAGTTTGGCCAGGGTCAATAGACTAGAATGTGCTAATGCCTTTCCTGAAAGGAAACCCTGTCTGAGGCTGTGTGACATTTCAGCTAATACAATCCTGCCATCATGAGTTATAGGGAGGGATTATAGCATGGGAAATTACTTCTTAAAGTTTGGGATGGAAAATAAGCTCAATTATTGTTAAGGCCCCATCTTCTTTACTGTGGCATTTCTCACACTGCTTAAATACTTAAGCACACAGGTTTTATGTCACACATAAAAAGCTCTTTTATATGTTTTACTACAAAAATGAATTAGCCTTAAATTCTATAATGTTATTTTTTGTTTATTTATCATTGTTGTCTTTAGAATTTTAAGTTCATAGAAAATGGTGCCAGGGCCAGACAAATGACTCAGTGAATAAAAACATTTATTCACAAACTTGACTAGCTAAATTATATATGAAATCAATGTATAAATAAGCTAATTCAATAAAGTAGCATAAGAGTTACCATCTAACCTCCACATAAATGGCAGAACATGCATGTACCTGTACACACACATACACACACACATATGAGAGAGAGATGATAGATAGATAGATAGATAGATAGATAGATAGATAGATAGATAGATGATAGATACAATTTAAAATGAATGAATGGTGTCCAAATTAAAGTTCCCATATATCCTTTGCCCAACACATGTACCATCTCCCTCACTGTCACCATTTCCCACAGCAGTGAGACATTTGCTACACCCAACAAATATGTGCTTAATACTGATATGTCTTTACCAGTCCAACACATAATTCACATGAGAACTTTCTCTTCCTTTTGTGCATTCTGTGGTTTGGCACAAATGTGTAATACACATGTCTACCATTACAGTATCGTATGGAACACTTTTATCTTTGTTTTTTATTTATTTATTTATTTATTTATTTATTTATTTATTAAAGATTTCCTTCTCTTCCCTGCCACCGCCTCCCATTTCCCTCCCCCTCTCCCAATGAAGTCCCCCTCCCTCATCAACCCAAAGAGCAATCAGGGTTCCCTGCCCCGTGGGAAGTCCAAGGACTACCCACCTCCATCCAGGTCTAGTAAGGTGAGCATCCAAACTGCCTAAAACACTTTTACTGACCTGTTCTTTAACTATTTCTCTACTTCCTCCAAGTACATGTAACCCTTGATGTTTTTGTCCTGTGTCTATACATTTACCTTTTTACATTATCAATTGGAACTAGACCTGGAGAAAGAATCTCTCCTTAAGACCCAGCAAAAGGCTCAAGTCTACCAGCAAACGCAACCCTTCATTTACATGGTGAAATTATTAGAGCTATGATTGGAGGAAGGGCAGTTTCTCATTTGTATTAAAACGCTGTGCCTTGATTGGTGCAGATAGCCATAGAGTTGTTTGACGATGTGCCTTGATCACTATAAATTCTCTTTATATGTCCATATAAGCAGGAAATAGTTTCCCTTTGGAAATATGTGGAAAAGTCACTCCTGGTTTAATCTGTGCTATTGCAACATAAAGCTCAATTAGAGGCTTCTCTTTTTTTTTTAATATAATTTTTTTATTGAAAAAAAAAGATTTCCGCCTCCTCCTCGCCTCCCATTTCCCTCCCCGTCTCCCTTTTCCCCCCTCCTCCCTCTCCTCTCCCCCTCCCCCCACTCCTCTCCCCCTCCCTCTCCAGTCTGAGGGGCAGTCAGGGTTCCCTGCCCTGTGGAAAGTCCAAAGTCCTCCCCGCTCCATCTTGGTCTAGGAAGGTGGACATCCAAACTGGCTAGGCTCCCACAAAGCCAGAACATGAAGTAGGATCAAAACCCAGTGGCATTGTCCTTGGCTTCTCAGCAGCCCTCATTGTCCGCCATATTCAGAGAGTCCGGTTTTATCCCATGGTTTTTCAGTCGCAGTCCAGCTGGCCTTGGTGAGCTCACAATAGATCAGCCCCACTGTCTCCGTGGGTGGGTGCACCCCTCGTGGTCCTGACTTCTTTGCTCATATTTTCCCTCCTTCTGCTCCTCCTTGGGACATTGGGAGCTCAGTCCAGTGCTCCAGTGTGGGTCTCTGTCTCTATCTCCATCCATCTCCAGATGAAGGTTCTATGGTGATATGCAAGATATTAATCAGTATGGCTATAGGATAGGGTCATTTCAGGTTCTCTGTCCTCAGCTGCCCCAGGAACTAACTGGGGACATCGCCCTGGGCACCTGGGAGCACCAAATCTCTTGCCAACCCTAAGATGGCTCCCTTAATTAAGATGTGTGCTTCCCTGCTCCCCTATCCGACCTTCCTTTATCCCAAACATCCCGTTTCCCAAGTTCCCCCCAACCTCCCCTTCTCACTTTTCTCTCCCCATCTCCCCTTACCTCCCTCCCCCCCCCCCCCCAGATCCCATTTTTTGCCCGGCAATCTTGTCTACTTCCCATAATCAGGAGGATAGCTATATGTTTTTCTTTGGGATCACCTTCTTATTTAGCTTCTTTAGGAGATCAAATTATAGACTCACTGACCTTTATTTATCTCTAGAAACCAATTATGAGTGAGTACATCCCAAGTTCATCTTTTTGGGTCTGGGTTACCTCACTCAGGATAGTGTGTTCTATTTCCATCCATTTGCATGCAAAATTCGAGAAGTCATTGTTTTTTACCACTGAGTAGTATTCTAATGTGTATATATTCCACACTTTCTTCATCCATTCTTCCATTGAAGGACATCTAGGTTGATGGCCTTTTCTTGGCTTTTGTTTTTCACTGATAGAGTGAGATGAGCCGGTAACACTAAGAAAGATTAGAAGACTGTGATGAAGGCAGAGTGGCGGAGGTGACAGTATTAGTGACAGTGATAGTTGTGGTAAAAGAGCAGCTGGGAATTCCAGAGATCTTCTGGGGCTGAAATAAGAAGTCAGAGATAAAGACAATGAGGGCTGTATTAATACCTGAGGGTGTGACACTGGCGACTCTAACAACCAGATGCATCCCAGACAGCTGTCAATCCTTAAGTGCCAACAATGCCAGCATCCTAGCCAAAGAGCTGTGACACTAGCCACGCTCAAGGCCCCAGGATCATAAAGGCACTGCGTGTGTGCTTCCATATTTTACCTACTGCTTCCAGAAGCTGTTGATGGCAAAAGCTTCCAAGTTCAAGGCTGGAAGTTGGTGGTTAAAGCCCAGATTAACAAGTCTCCCGTCTGAAACCTCAGGACCACAGATCTTTGGCTTCTGAAGAGTTTGGAGTTTGTAAGACCCCGGGTATATTAGACTATGTCCGAGGCCTTGAGTCCTCTACTACAATAAAAACCCTGTCTCAGTTCTCCATGATTCCTACCCAGGTAGAGTAAAGGGACCTTGGCCAGTTAGTGTTAACACCCTGAAATTGGTGCACCCCGTATGTGGGGTTTGTGTCTAGTGACTAGAGTACAACTGTTTGCTATAAAAGTCACAAGGGGGGCTGGAGAGATGGCTCAGTGGTTAAGAGCATTGCCTACTCTTCCAAAGGTCCTGAGTTCAATTCCCAGCAACCACATGGTGGCTCACAACCATCTGTAATGAGGTCTGGTGCCCTCTTCTGGTCTTCAGGCATACATGCAGAAATAATATTATGCTGGGCAGTGGTGGCTCACGCCTTTAATCCCAGCACTCAGGAGGCAGAGGCAGGTGAATCTCTGTTAGTTCGAGACCAGCCTGGTCTACAGAGCTAGTTCCAGGACAGGCTCCAAAGCCACAGAGAAACCCTGTCTCGAAAAACCAATAAAAAAAAAAAAAAAAAAAAAAAAAAAAAAAAAAAAAAAAAAAAAAAAAAAAAAAAAAAAAAAAAAAAAAAAAAAAAAGTCACAAGGTTAGGACTTTTGTGAGCTGATGAGTTTCATTTGAGAAGAATGTGAGCATAACTAAACTTTGATATATATTTACGATAACCACAATGTTTATGGGAAGTAAGGAGTCCGGTTTCACTAGCCAGGGAAATTGAAAGCTATGAGCAACACTGGGAGGAGGCCTGACTATTTTAGCACCCCTTTCCCCAAGGAGAAAGCACAGTGAGCGACATTTAGTGCTGCTCAAGATCAAGATAGGAGGTGTGTTTAACACATCACAGACCCTGGTATCTTGACTTGTGTTTTACTCTTCAGTTTTTGATTTACTCGTTCATCTATCTACTCAAAGCAAACAAGCTCACTTCTTGCCTTGTGAAAGGTCTCAGGATCTGAACATCGCTGCAGAAATTTCCAGGGAGGTGAGTCTGTTTCCTAAATATATGATCAGATATCTCTATGAAATATAAAAGAACATAGGAAAGAAATCAGAGATTTCTATTTGCCATCTAAGTGCTGAATCTTATACATTTTTTTTATTTTTAAATGATTTATTATTTTTTTCTAACTTACACTCCTATATATGGCCCATTGTAAAATCAATACACGTATGCAACATCTAGTAATATAGTCTGTGAAACAGGCATTTCCATGCCTTCAACAATCAACTATTATATGTTTTGGGAATTACACATTTTATTTTCTAACTATGCTGAACTATGTTATACAGTGTTCTGTCCAATAATTGCCCTGTTGTGCTAAATAAGAACAAGAGTTGAGTTGTATTCTGTGTTGTAATCTTGAATTTATTTTTTAATTTCTTTCTCTTCCTCCTTTGTTCCTCCTGCCTCTAGATCTTCCCCATTTCTAGAGAACCATGATTTCACTTCATTCTTCTATAGAGTTTATTTCTGTAAATAACTGAGACAAGTGGTATTTATCTTTCTGTGTCTGTCATGTTTCACTTAACAAGGTTATCTTATTTTCTATTCATGTTGCTTCAAATGACGGGAGTTCATTGCTTCTAAGGCTAATGAATACTTGGTGGTGGGGGTCATGTATGGAAGTCCAGGAATATACATATCATAGCATACATGTAGAGATCATGAGGTATCTTTGGGGAGTTGCTTCTTGGCTTCTATGTTGTTTTGAGTAAGCCTTTCTTATTTTTCTGTTGCTATGCTCTATATTCCAGAAGAGCTGGTCTACAAATTTCCAGGCAATTCTCCTATCTCCACCTTCTCTGTCACCATACAGGGCCTAGGATTACAGACATACACTACTGAGTCTTGTTTCTACAGGTTCCAGGGATCTAACGGCAGGCCACAGTGGGCACTTTTTCCAACTAAGCCATCTCCATTGCCAATTAAATGTATATTTACCATGTGCTTTTGTATTTGTTTTTTTTGTTTCCATTTTTCAAACAGTCTCATAATTGGGGATTCCCTTGAACTCCTAATCCTTTCTCCACCTCTCCAGTACTGGAATTATAGGCATGTACCATGGTGGCCAGCTATTTGTTTTCTTAATTCACTCATCCACCCAAAAAGCATTTGCAGTTATTCTGTATTTTGGCTGTTGTAAATAATAATGTAATAAATATAAAAGTGCAATTACCTTTTCTATACAACTTATTCATCTCCTTTGGTTATATATTCATTTAATGGAAGAAATGAAATACACTGGTTGTGCTTTTTGTGTTTAAGGGATTGCTATATTATTTTTTGTAATGTTATACTAAATTATGTACCTTCAAACAAAGTATTAGAGTTTCTCCTTCTCTGAATCCTAATCATAATTTATTTTTATCTGTGTAATGATAAATACTCTAACTGGGTGAAATGATAGGTCACTATAGCTTTTATTTAACTTTTTCTGATAAGTAGAAAACTTGCTTTATGTCTAAAAGACACTTATGAGTGAGTACATATCATATTTGTCTTTCTGGGCCTGGGTTATCTCACACAATATGATGCTCCCTAGATCTATCAATTAGCCTGAAAATTTCAAGATGTCATTATTTTTTTTTTCTTCTGAGTAGTACTCCATTGTGTAAATGTACCACATTTATTTTCTTTTTTCATTATTCAGTTAAGGGGCATTTAGGTTGTTTCCAGATTCTGGCTATGACAAACAATGCTGCTATGAACATAGTTGTGCACATGTCCTTGTGGTAAAATTCAGCAACCTTTGGGTATATACACAAAAGTGGTATTGCTTGGTCTTGAATTAGGTTCTTTCCTGAGAAATCGCCATACTGATTTCGAAAGCAGCTGTACCAGTTTGCACTCCCACCAGCAATGCAGAAGTGTTCCCTTTTCCCCACATCCTCTCTAACACAAGCTGTCATCAGTGTTTTTGATCTTGGCCATTCTTATAGGTATAAGATGAAATCTCAGAGTTGTTTTAATTTGCATTTTTGTGATGGTTAAGAATGTTGAACATTTCCTTAACTGTCTTTCAGCCATTTTATATTTGTCTGATGAGCACTCTCTGTTTAGGTTTGTAGCCCATTTTTATTGGATTATTTGTTCTTTTGATGATAAATTTCTTGAGTTCTTTGTATATTTTGGAGATCAGCCCCCATGTCTTGTTTCTATTGGGTATTATTGTCACAGTCACTAGAAAAGTAACTAGTATAGCCACAGAAAGTCTGAGGAGTTAGGATCTGACAAACAAACAAGGGAAAGGTTCAGGCACTTAAGGTGAAGAAAAGAGAAGATGCAAACCAATACTCCTAAGTTCTGCCACAGTGGCATTCCTCCAGAATCTTTCCATCTCAGCTAGCTTTGACCCAAATAACCATCTTCTTTAATAGGAAAGATTGATTTGAAGTTTTTCCTAATGCAGCAATTCTTACCCAATATTCCGTGTAACATAAATGACTGTTGTACTATGTTTTTCACGAACACACATGTATACAATATTTTCACATAGTGCATTCATTCATGTAGACATTCCTTTCTTAGGAAATTTCTGAACACATATACAACAGTGCATGCCAATTATCTCTTACAGTTTCACCAACAACTTTAAAGATGGTGAATGAATACAAGAGAATTGTTCTGCTGAAAGGATTAGCGAACATCAGTAGTGATCAATTTGACTGCTTTAAGTCATTAATGTCCAGTGATTTAAGACTGGAGAGAAACATGAAAGAGAAATATAACAAGATTCAGATTGCTGACATGATGGAAGATGGATTCCCAACTGATGCTGGATTGAGCAAACTGATCGACTTTTGTGAAGACATACAAGCTCTTAAAGGACTTGCTGAAACCCTTAAAGAAGAGAAATCAAAAGGTAACATGTAACATAGAACCCACTGTCCCTAGTACCGTATTGCTATCTCTGATTCCTTCATTAAAGTACCCACATAGCTTTCATATACCCAATTTATACTTCAGTAATCACAGCTGTTCCCTTCCCAGTAGATGCTATGACTTAAGGAGCCTATTTGGCGTGTGAACTAACACATAAATAGAATTTCATCAAAGATTGGGCTTGCAGGTATAACATAGATATTAGAAAATTATGGTTTAAAATCTAATTATATTCATTAACCAATAGTGTCACTTATTTTATTAAGAATACTAGCATAATTATCCTCTCTATTGACAAAGATAAGACAATACTTTAATCAAATATCACCTTAAGAAGGTATAAATCACCATTGTCATTCATAAAATTATTGAGTTAGATAATAGGATTTTAGAAAGATAAAATTCACTACTTTTCTATCTTATTACACAAGTGAGTACCAGATTTCTTTCACTGATTTTTTATGATTTGTGATGGAGGAGGGTCATATGTCTATCTGTTGCTTTCTTTGGTTAATTAATAAAGAAACTGCTTGGCCTGATAGGTTAGAACATAGGTAGATGGGAAAGACAGAACAGAATGCTGGGAGAAAGAAAGCTGAGTCAAGCAGATGCTATAGCTCTCCTCTCCAAGATGGATGCAGGTTAAGATCCTTTCCAGTAAGCCACCACCTCGTGGTGCTACACAGATTATTAGAAATGGGTTAATCAAGATGTGAGAATTAGCCAATAAGAGGAACTAATGGGCTAAGCAGTGTTTAAAAGAATACAGTTTCCATGTAATTATTTCGGGTAAAGCTAGCCGGTGGCAGGGAACCCTCCTGGGCAGCAGGAAGTGGCCTGCTGCTCCATCTACAGATTTGAGTGTACTATACACAAAACATAACCAACAAATCATGATGAAAATTTGTATTTTTAATGAAAGGCAGGAGAATGAGAATGAGAAAAGCTTGGCTGATATAGTGAGGTTCAAGGACAGGAAGGTTTTCTCTCATTATAGGGAATAAGTAAGGAAAATATCAAGTAGTAGAAACTGTGTCTAAGACTGTGCCTTTAGTGGTGTAATCCTACAATAACATAATGGAATAAACATTGATATGAATGCAATAAAAATGTGTTCGTATGGCAGGAAAACTAGATGGTTCCTAGATCCTCTGTTTTGGTTCATGTAAACTCTTTTGCTCATGCATTTGTTGTGATGAAAATTATATTCTTCCTAGTAAAAGGAAAAGCACCACTGAGAAATAAGAATCAAGAAGCAAGTTCAGCTATAAAAACACCAACTGCATCAGCATCAAATGGAGGGAAACCTTCTGTAGCTCAGGTGAGCTTGAGGTACAGCAGCAAATTGACAGGCCAAAAAGGCTGCAGCAGAGCCGCCTGTCCATACTCTGTCCATCAGGCACTGACTGCTTTTGTAGTTTATCTTCAAGCTTTACTGAAACTCATGGATAATCATGTAGCATTAGAATGTGTTAACTCCTTTAAGAGATGTGGTATACTTGACAATCAAATAGAATAATGGCTGTTTTATGTTTGTACAAGACCTAGCTTTCAATTTCAAATTTAAATTCAATTATGTCCTACCATAGAGGTAATGTGAGAAAAACTGTGTATATAACCCTTTCCTCTCCCTTTATATAATGAAACTACTTATGCACATATTTTGTGAGTATTCACAATCATATTCTAAACCTGGCCAGAGGGTGGGTGTCACTCCAGGTTTCCAACATACTCAGGTATAATAAACCTACTACCTAATAATGAAGACACACTTTGGTCACTTGATACTGAGACTCATTAACATTGTCATGAATACACTTTCAGAAAAGAAAAAGTATGAATAATGAAAAGACTGCCGTGAAAAAGGCCAAGGGGTCTGAGAGGCCAAATCACCCTCCATGTTCTACAGAAAACACAGCCAGATGCCAGTCCTCAGTATTCCAGACCTCCTCTTTGGCTTCATTCAACACTTCTTTGGATAAGGTACAAGTCTTATTCCTCCTTTTCATTTTCTCGATCTAGATATCAGGATCAGATCTTCAAGTTTTGACCATGTTCCACACTTATCACTGATATTTAATTAGTTACACACACACAGTGTTTGGATACAATAGAAGTAGATCACCATACAAAGGCAGAAACATAAACATAGGTTATACAATTACAGAATTTGCTGCATCATAACTTTTGGCTGCCGCAAAGACATTTAATAAACTTGGCATTTCGAACAATGAGAAATGTCCTGCCTTGCTCTGATCATAGATAGGAAGAAAGAGATGAAGAGTCAGTAGCCATAGGCTCCATTTCTATAAGATTGAACCCCTACCTGACTCAGCTAAAGCAGTCAAGAATCTGAGAAACCTACTACTATTATTCTGCTTAAGGAACATAGCAACAACATGACTCATAGTGACAAACTGTCATCTCTATAGATCAGTGCTTCATTCAGGTCTCATCAGAGAAGCTTCTTTTTGTCAAAGATGGGAAATTAACAGAGACCCACAGCTTCCAATGTGCAGATAGTGAGAGAATTCACAGTATTCAGCCCTCAATGGGGAGTCTGCATCAAATTCCTTAGGGATCTATGTGGAAGAGGAAGATGAAAGCTTGTAAGAGTCAAAGATAGTACATGACTCCAAGGAAACAGTGTTTGTCCTTTTGGACAACCAGAAGTGATGCACATATGAGCTCAGAGACTGTAGTGGCACACATTAAAAAGGCACAGGTTCAAGCTGCCTGGGGTCCCAGAACAGAGAGAAGGGAGGGGACATGAGTCCCACCCTTAACCAACCAGCAATTTTCAGTAGATAACAACTACCAAAGGGTTTCTTCAATGGAGACTACCAACCACAGTCTGAATGAGGGTGGTGCACCAACACCAAAAGAGGTCCACATGGTTTTATGTGTATGGTGGATTGGTTTTTTATTTTGTCTTTTTGGGGAAATGTTTTTTTTTATCTTTTTATTTATCTACATTTTGAGAGTGAGAAGAAGACATGAAGTTAAATGGGGGGGGATTTGGGAGTGTTGGGGAAGGGGAATCCTAAACAATATATATTGTATAGAAAATTTTTAAATAAAAATAATAGAAAAATACTAATTCTGAGAGGGAAGAAAGGAAATGTAGTGAAAGAAATTAGAGAATTGATGCCTCTTACTTTTTCTGAGTACTCATTGAAGGAAAACTGTAGCAATGTCAGCATCCATCTCTCTGGACTCTCCTTTTCCTCTCTCTAGGTTTCTTTCTGTATGCCCTCATCTCTTTATCACTTGATGAAATATATCCAGACAGTTAAGCAAAAACAGAAACAATTTTACTCACCTCAAACCTTACCATTATAATAATTGAGAGATAAATATTTTTTTATATTTTTCATTGATTGTTATAATTATGTGGAAAATTTTTCTAGAGTAACATCTTACAAGAGTTATTACTTCACTGTTTTTCCAATTTGAAATTTCAGGATTACCTTTCCAACTCCCTAAGTTACAAGCATATAACATTCAATGGCTATATCAGTATTTATGTTGCTTTTTAAAATAATTCATTGTGGATTGTTTATCCACTACTACAAACTCAGTTCTACTTTCAATGAATATTGTGAATGGAGACTGTGTTTGGTATCCTGGGTGCCCAGACTCTAATAATCACACAGGAACTACATTAATTGCAACACAGTTTGTCCAATAGCTTAGGCATATTTTTAGCTAGTTGTTACATCTTAAATTAACCCATTTCTATCAATCTGCATATCACCATGAGGGTGTGGTCGACTGGTAAGGTTCTGGCATCCTTCTCCTTTGGCAGCTACATGGCATCTGCCTGACTCTGCCTACTCTCTCTCTCTCTCTCTCTCTCTCTCTCTATATATATATATATATATATATATATATATGTGTGTGTGTGTGTGTGTGTGTGTGTGTGTGTGTGTTTGAATTTTCCACCTGGCTTTACTCTGCTAAGTCATTAGTTAAAACAGCTTTATTCATCAATCAATAAAAGCAACTCATATACAGAAGGACATCCCACATCAGAATATCCTTGAAATGTGTGCATTAATGGTGTAGGAGGTCCTTAGTTCTATGTGTTGCTTATATTGGTTAATGAATAAAGAAACTGCATTGGCCTGATAGGGGCAGAATTCAGGTAGGTTGAGAAGACAGAAATGAATTCTGGGAGGAAGAAAGAAGAGGGGAGAGACACCATGGAACCGCCAGAATCAGGCATGCCGAATCTTTCCTGATAAACCACTGCCACGTGGCAACATATAGATTAATAGAAATGAGCTAAATCAAGGTGTAAGAGTTAGCCAATAAGATGTTAGAGCCAGTAGGCTAAGCAGTGATTTAATTAGCACAGTTTCTGTGTGATTATTTCAAGGTTAAGCTAGCTGGGTGGCTGGGATGAATAAGTGGTTCTGTCTCTTCTACACATTAAGAATCATTTTGTGAGCCACAATCAGAGAGTCCGGTTTGATCACATGCTTGTTTAGTTCCAGTCCAGCTGGATTTGGTGAGCTCCCATTAGAATAGGCACACTGCCTCAGTGGGTGGAGCAAGGAAGTCCTGAATTCCTTGCTCATCTTCTCCCTCCGTCTGCCCTTCAACTGGACCTTGGGAACTCAGTCCGTTGCTCTGATGAGGGTCTCTGTCTCTATCTCCATCTGTCACTAGACAAAGATTCTATAGTGATATTCGAGATAATCATCAGTGTGATAGTAAGGCAAGGACAGTTCAGGCACCCTCTCCTCTGATGACCAAGGACATAACTGGGGACATCCCTGTGGACAACTGGGATCCTCCCTAGAGCCAAGTCTCTTGCCAACCCTAAAATGGCTCCCTTAATGTAGATATCTTCTTCCCTGCTCCTATATCTGCACTTCCTTCATCTCTACCCTCACACTCCCCCAAGCTCTCGCCAGTATTTCCCTTCTCCCTTCCCTCTCCCCTTCTTCCCTTCCCCAACCTTAGCCTCATCCCTATCTGCACCCCCATACTCCATTTTGTGTTTTTCATAGTATCTCACTAATTTATTTTATGCATATCATATAACTTTCTGTTAATTTCAATCTGGTCTTTCCTATTTGTTTACCTATCACTATCACTAACTATATTGCTTTTTGATTTTTTTGCTAATATTTTATTTAATTTTTAAAACAATCTTATTTTACATACCAATCCCAGTTTCCTTTTCCTCCTGTCCTTCCGCTATCTCCAACATCTATCCACACCACCCCCAACTGCTCCTCAGAGAGGCCTCTCACAAGGAGTTAACAAAATCTGACACATCACTTGAAAGAGGAACAAGGCCCCTTTATCTATGCTAAGCAAGGTACCCCTCCATAGGGAATGGGCTCCAAAGAGCCAGCTCATACACTAGGGATAAATAGTGGTTCCACTGCTAATGGCCTCACAAACTGCCCAAGCCACACAAGTGTCACCCACATTCAGAGAACCTAGTTCAGTCTTATACAGGTTCTGCAGCTGTCAGTCTGGAGTCAGTAAGCTCCCACTTGCTTGGGTCAGCTGTTTCTGTGGGTTTCTCCATCATGATCTTGGCTCCTTTGCTCATAATACTGCTTCTCCAGGAGTTCAGCCCAGTGCTATGTTTATGCTGAACATCGTGTTTCATGTTGGAAATAGTCCTCTGAGTTTACAGCAAAAGTGCTCAAGGTTCTGTGGCTAAAGCCCATTGTTTTAATTCATTAGACTTTTGGCCAGTGAAAGAGTTCCTCTTTAGCTTTTCCATAGTTCAACCAATACATAAAAATTGATAGAACGAATGTGGAGATTGTGATTTATTTTATGTAAAGGTTAATTTTTTTATTTGTGGTAAAATTCTATGTTTATATCTCCGTGTTTATTTAACCCAGAACCAAAAGACACAGACCCAAAATCAGAGCACTGCCAGAGGTGCTGTTTGCAAAAATGATGTCATGATAGTGATGGTGCTCAAGGCAACAGAGCCATTTGTATATAAGTCAACAGAACCTGGAGTAAAGATGATGTTTCATGCTACAGTGGCCACTGAAAGCAAGTATTTCCATGTGAAAGTTTTCGACATCAACCTGAAAAAGAAGTTCACAAGAGAGAATGTCATCATGATCTCTAATTACCTTGAATTCAAAGGAATTCTAGAGATAAATGAATATTCCTTTGTGCTTGAAGCTGGTTCTGTCCAAAATATTAAAGTCCCTACAAGCATTATGAAAAAATCAAAAGAAACTCCCAAGATTTTTGATATTCGCAAGTATGCCACTGGAACACTGGTTTATGGGTTATTTACATTACACAAGGTAATGTCTGAAATTTTGTTTATGTCTTCTTCTCGACCAACACCTGAGCTCCATGTGTAATGACTATATTGTTACAGAAGACTTTAAGATGTCTGGGGTAACAGATGAAATTATCCCGCATATTAAGAGATAATTCAACAGCCTATTTCCTATGATATTTCTTAAAAAGGTCTCTGAAAATAAATTACAAATAATCTTTACATTTATTTATTTTTTTTTTTTTGATTTTTTGAGACAGGGTTTCTCCATAGCTTTTGGTTCCTGTCCTGAAACTAGCTCTTGTAGACCAGGCTGGCCTTGAATTCACAGAGATCTGCCTGCCTCTGCCTCCCGAGTGCTGGAATTAAAGGCGAGTGCCACCACCACCCGGCTTAATCTTTACTTTCTTTGTTAAAAAATATTTACCCTCAGCCACAATAAGCAGGAATAGTATAGTAGGTCAGTACCATGCCAACAGTCTCAGATTTTTAAGCTCTATTGAAACCATACAATATTTATTCTTTTCTTTCCATACACTGTGTTTCTATTGATTGTCTGAACTAGGGTGAATATTAATTACAACAGATATTTGGAGTAATAAATGATTGGCTAGCAACCTTCTAAATTAAAAACCATAAAGAGAGAACATCATCACACTAATAAAGCAAGTTCTTTGGGAACACTTCACTACAGACACCTGCATGCCTGTGTCTGTAACAGTGCTCATATTTTTCTGTCTATTGTCCTGAAAAAGTCTTTTTTGAATGTATAATAATGTTTGTGAATTTGATAACTTTCAGAAAAGGAATGCCAATTTTACTTTTTCAGATAAAGGTGAACCCAAAGAACACAATCTATGAAATGAAGGACGGCACAGGAAATATAGACGTTCTAGGGAGTGAGCAATGCTACAACATTAGATGTAAGGAAGGAGACAAACTGCGACTCTTCTGCTTTCAAGTGAAAACAATTAACAAGCAACCGAAGCTGGTGTCTGGCGATCACAGTTTCATTAAGGTACAAAGTAGACAAGGAACAGATTTATCAAAGCAGAAATTCACATTTCTTTAGGATTCTGTACGTGAACTTTTAGTGTGTTACATAGATAATTCTGTCTCTGGAGGGGAGAATTAAAATGATGTCCTTACACGCATTTCTATGGGAAAGATTTTTTAAAAATTATATTGAAGAAATAATACAAAGAATATTGTATATATACTAAATAACAAGATATATGAGGAAGTAAGAGTGACATGGAAATATATTTCAAAAGTGATCAAGAACAAGAGTTTTTAAATAAGTCAAATTTGAGTTGAAAGCCAGCTTTAACCATTAAGAATTGATTGATTCTGGGGAAAGCTTCACTTTAAATCTGGACTTTAAGGTAAGAAATGCCTAGATATGTATGAGTTATCACAGAATTTAGCACATCATGAAAAATAAGTAGGTACTATTTTCTTAAGCGGGGTGAAGGAGAGAGAGAGAGAGAGAGAGAGAGAGAGAGAGAGAGCGAGCTAAGAAATAGAAACGGCATGAAAATATATCAATGTATGGCTCACCACTATTAATTCTTCTACATATGAAAGACAAAGACTCTGAGGACATGAGACTAAAGGGCTGTTTAAATGGTCACATAAATGTAGCATTGTCCGAAATAAGGAAGTAAGAACCATTCATGGTGGATAAAGTAAATATTGAAAGACTTTCTGAGTTTGAATGCTTGATAACTTTGGCACATAAGTAAAAAAGAATTTTGTACTTGTCTTGAAATTTTTTGTTGCAGAGAAACTTGCCCTGGAGGTAGAAATATTAGTTAGACACAACTATGTACTATTATACATTTTGTATTAAATATTTGTGTTAAATATTCAGAATCATTGCAAGTTGCTTATGAAATCTCCAGCAGTTTGAAAGTCACCATAGATTTACAGCACTAAAACATTTAAAGGCTATTGAGAATGATTTTGGAAATCAGGCAGCTACTTTATCAAGACATCACAGAATCTATTTTATAATTTTATTAGGCAGGGAAAAGATAAATGGGACTTTGAGTGATAGAAATGACTAATGTTTAAGAAGATAAACCCTCATTATTTTACAACCAGCTTGGTAATGGTGGTAAGAGAAAAAAAATGGGTTCAAAGAACATCCAAAAGCTATTCAGAGATAACACTAATAAGCAGAATAAATGGTGCTGGTACCAACACTAAGAACAAGAACAACACCTAGGGGTTTGAAGCATGCTCAGATTGATGATGATGTTAAACTCCCTTGAGGAAATTTACATCCATACAAATAGAGAACACATACTAAGTACTTACTTTGTGTTGGGACTTTAAGCAACAATAGAGAGATAATAATTATTTTCATTTCACAGATAATCAGTAATAATCACAGACAACGTGCATGGTGGAACTGAAATCTACCTGTGCTACCTGGCACTGAATGCAGATTCTTATACAAGGTGATTATACAGATCACTGAAGGCAGTTATGAATCACAGGACAGTGAAGGGATAGGTAAACAATACTATAAATTAAGATAAATAAATTGAAAGGGCAAGATAAAATGAAAGGATGAAACATAGATATAGAAATTTAAAGAGGGATGCGATCAACATAGATCATTCCAGATACAAAAGAGCAAGGAGCTCTCTGGAAATAACTACATTAAAAAGCTAGAGATGACTTTAGCAGAAGGTATGCTCGAGATACAACAGTCAAAAGGCAAATGCTGCTACATTCTGACACAGGGATATAAACATTAATTGTTCCATCTTCAAGAATACAAGATTCATGAGTTCCAACTATATCTGATAGCCAAGAGCAGTAGTAGTGAAGAAAATCAGAACTTTATGTAGTTTGGTTTTGTTTTTCTGCTTCAACCCAAGTTTTGAAAACATAAACCAATACTTTTGCTTTTTTGTTATAATTCCCTGCCCCAAAAGAAAGTCATGTTGAGTGTGAAAAGCCATTTCTTTAAGAACCACATAGTTGGAAAAGGGTGGCTCAAAATAAGGCAATACAACGAAGAAGGTGAAGCAGAGAAGATCAACAGCCTTTGGGAGGGCAAAAGATCATATAAGGCCATTGAGGGCAATAGACAAGGATAGATGACTGGAGAAATACAAAGAGTGCTTTAGTTCAATGACTAGACTCTTATAATATCTCTCACTGTCTCTTTCAAGGCTACTAAGGCTTGAAAAAAACACAGAAGATGGAGAAGAAGTGGCTACCCACAAGATCAATTAATTCAGTGCTTTTAACGGTGGACAGCTTTTAAAATAGAGACACCAAGCAACAGGAAATAAGGAACAGATTTAGGAGTACATTCAAGCATTTAAATGTCTTGCTATTTGATTTGTGATTATGTATTTTCATTTGCAAATTTCCTCGTTGCTCTCTTTTTCTATCAAAATAATACTTGAATTTAATTTCTCTAGTGTGAAAATAATAAATTTCTTTTTAAAGGGACATAGTTACAAAATGCTGTATGTAGTTTTTTCAATTCATGGGTTAACTGCTAGATACTGGTACTTGTGCTCTGTTGGACACATAGGATGGAATACAGAGAATTTTGTCAACATTGAGTTCAATATTCTGATTAGAACTTCCAGAGTATAGAATCTATTAGGATTCTCTCTCATTCTGTGGGCTGTTTTTTTCTCTCCATTGACTGTTCTCTTTACTGTACACAAATTGAAGTTTTATGAGGTCTCATTAGTCAGTTGTTGACCTTATTCTTGGATTTATGAAGTCCTATAAAGAAAGTCCTTCTGAACAGAACAGTGTTAGCACAGGCAATAAGGATCAACAATTAATAAAAGGGACATCATGAAATTGTGAAGCTTCTGCATTGCAAAGGACACCATCCTTCAGACAAGGAAGCAGTGTACAGAATGAGAAAAAAGTATTACCAACTACACATCTGATAGCAACCTAACATCCAAATATATAAGTTACTCAAAACTCCAGAAGATCAATCAAATGAATATTTCAATTAAAAAATAGGGTGCAAATTGGGCATGGTGGTACATGCCACCTAGTACTCAGGAGGCAGAGGCAGGCAAATCTATGTAAATTTGAGGACAGTCTGGTCTACAAAGTGAAACCTAAACAGACAATTCTCAAAAAAGGAAAGTAAAATGACTGAAAAGTATTTAAAAGAATGTTCAACTTTAGTAACCCTCAGGGAATTCAAACCAAAATTATTTTGAGATTTTATCTTAAGCCCCACTGAACAGCTAAGATCAGTAGAATAAGTGACAGCTCATGCTGGTGAGGATGTGGAGCAAGGGACACAGCCATCCACTGCTGGTGGAGTGCAAACAGCTCACGTCAGTCTCCTATAAACACTTTCAATGAAATGTTTTGTTTTATTTTCCTGAGAAGGCTTTTCCAGACACAAAACCATAAGATTGCATCCTTTTCTCTCTTTAGAAAGTTTATAGTCTAGTTTTTTTCTTTTTATTCTATGACCTGGTTTTTCTTATTTTTCAGATGTTAAATGGTATTTACTTTAATATGAATATGGAATTTGTGCCATCAAAACTATTTTTCTTGGTAAAACATGCTTGAATAAACATCCTTTCTCCACTTATTTACTTCTCACTTTTGTCCCAAAGCAACTTTCTAGATTCTTTACTGCATTTACCCAGTAGTTCCTCTGCATTTTAAGTTCAAAACTACACTTTGTCTTTACAAAGAACCCAAAATAATAAACAAAATATTATAATTTTCAATATTTCGAGATATGGAAATCAGCATATAAACTGATACTCCCTTGTGTTGTGAATTTGGTCTGGTGAATACTTTCATAAGCACAGGACATTCATATGTGCAACTTCCCTCTTATATCTGCAAAACTCTGTTTCCTATACTCATCCGATTTTGCTACTATGCTCTACCAGACTGCAGGAAGCATGTAAATACTTGTATTCACAGACAAGCACTAGGGAAACGAGGAATGTTAAACACACATGATTAGATTGTCCCTTTAAAGGAAGAGATATATAATCTGCGTTCTGCCCAGAAGACTGAAAATGGGTGTGGTTAACAGCCTGGTGACCTCAACACTTTTCATATGGCCAGACATTACCAGCTCACCCAGACTCCTACATTTACCTCAGTAAATCTATAGCACCATCCTTCCTGAAACTTCATCATGAACATTGTTAACCTTGAACTTGCTTTCTTAGTTAATCTTTAGAACTCATCGTTATGGATTTGTCACTTGTACTTTATCAGATTCTAGATGTTGCCATGGCTTAATCTTCATTGTGAAACAGGATTAAGTTAATTATTACCATGAATTAAGGACAGTTGTGCTGTCCTTAAATGTGCTTGAAATAAATTACCTGATATACTTTAATTTGAAACAACACAGGCCACTGGGTCTTGTTGAACCAAATCTCCTTACCTCCCCTGCATTGACACTCTGCTAGCCATGGTGTTTGGCACAAACCTGCTCTTCTATAATGATCTCTGACACACGTGGGAGGAGGGTTTGCATTATAGATGTCGCATTTAGGGCTGAGCACTGCACAGTCTCTTATTCTCTACATCTTGACCAGTTGTGAATCTTTGTTTTGATTACCATAGTAATGAGAAGGAACTAGAAGTCACTTTAATATTATGTCACTTTGGCAGAGTAATAAATGTCAACTCTTCCCTTTTGTCTATGACTTGTCTTGCCCTATGTTCTTGGTCTAGATAATAATACCATGTGTGGATTCTATCTTGAGAAGTGGGACTTAAATCCAAGAAAAAAGCAGTTGGTCACTCCAATGATATCCATGCCACTATTTTATCTCTGGGCATATATTTCTAGGCTTGCCATTGTTGATGCTTGTGAGACTCAAAAATAAATAAAACTGATGTTTACTTTTGTCCTCTGATAGCATACATGCATGTCACCTTCTAAACCTCTGAAACCAAACCAGTGTTCCTAAAACTGGTCTGCAAATAATGGAAAAACAATTTTTTTAAAGAAAAACTCTAATACTTTTTGGAGGAATTATCATACAACTCAAAAACTGATATAAAAGGCTCAGAACAAAGAGACCTAAAAAATGGGGAAAGTTTTTTAGGAAGTGCCAGCTGTACTAGTTATCAAGACTAGTATAAATGAAGAACTACTATAAATACAAAGGCATCAGGTTAGTGGAAAAGAGAAAAATCAAGAGGGATGTAATAAGGAAGTAAAACATTATTGCAAGAAAACATGGCCTTCTATCATGAGGGAAGGATGGAGAGCTATGAAAAAGTAGGGGAGGTCATGTAGAGTGAAAACAGCCTGAATCATGCTCTTGCTGTGAGTTCGTTTTTATTTGTTTGGTTTTTGTAGCAGGATCTCACTGCATAACACTGCCTGACCTAAAACTCATTATGTAGACCAGGCTGGCCTCAAACTCACGGAGACAAGCCTGTCTCTACCACCTGAGTAGCCTGCATGGACACAGATAGGTAATACTGTATCTTTATTTTACAAAATATGTAATAAGAAATAAAAATCTAAAATAGAACATAATATTATTACAGTTTCATAGGTATTTTTTCACTTTATACCTTTAAGATATATTTTAAATAAGATATAATTGCACCACTTCATCATTCTTTTTTCTCTCCAGCACCTCCAAGATTCTACTCCTTTTCAATCTGAGAGAATTTTAAAAAATAACTTTTGTCATATAACATATTATGCAAGTATGTATGTATGTATGTATGTATGTATGTATGTATGTGGGTCTTAAGTCCAAAAAGAAGGTGTCTGGTTATGCAAGTATGTATGTATGTATGTATGTATGTATGTATGTATGTATGTGGGTCTTAAGTCCAAAAAGAAGGTGTCTGGTTTCACTGATGATATTCATGCCACTATTTTACACCTGGGCAGATCTTGCCAGGTTTGTCATGGTTGTGATTTGCATACCATGATGAATCCCAAGATCACCTTGTGTGTTAGTTTTCTCTGACTAAACCTTCTATTACTAATCCATGATTGTTGATTTCTTTTTGGCCTGAGATGTCTGTGAGACAGGATATTCTCCAAATATTTAACCACTCCCTAAAAGTCAAGAAAAATGCATATTTTTAGGATGATTTTGCTACATTTAGCAAATATATCTTCTGCATAGAGTGGATTGAGGGGCACTGGGCTGAACTACATAGTTCAGGGACAGTGATTTGTGTGCCGCGTGCTGAAATGATTATGACATGAAATGACAATGCAACGTTAAAACAAGATGAATGAAGGTCATTCTTACCATATGTTCTTTTTAGTTTGGTTTTGTTTTTGAGATATGGTTTTATTGTATAATTCTGTCTGCCTGAGAACTCATAATATAGTACAGGCTGGTGTTGAACTCACAGAGATACACCTGTCTCTAACACCCAAGTGCTGGATTTGAAGGCATGTATCACCACACCCAACATTTTCAATATGGTTTTGACCCTCTGATATCTGAGTTAGGTCATTCTCAAACCTCTCTGTGACTGTCCCAATGTCCTACTCTACCTAGGCTTCACACCCACATGGCATTTAAAGCCTACAAAAAAGAAACTTAGATAGCCGCAGGTGTCTATGACTTACAACCACATATTCTGTGCCTTTCTTTAATTTGCTCTTGATCCAGTAGTGTTCCGATGGCTTCAGTATCAATCTCAACTATTTCATATGTTGAAAGCATAAGGGTCCTACTAGTCTAAGCTTATATAAGATCTAGGGGTCATTATCTTCAAGGCATACAGAAACACTGAGACCTACAATGTACACTTGATGCTGCTCCTTACTGCCACTACCTGCTGCTTACTGCTGCTAAACACAAAGGAATACAAAAGCTACTAAGAGCCAGATCTTGAGAAGCATCGTGTATACTCATGGTTCCCATATGCTTAAATGAATGCACACAGGTAGCTGAATGGTAGGAGCCATCAGTCATGGTATCAACCTGCTTCCTGATAACATAGCAGCCTTCACACCACTGTTCACTGCCTAGTGCCACTGGTTCCATGTCATATGATGATAGTAGTCCAAAAATATTATTCCAGAAACCATCTACTGGTCCACATAGAAAAGCACAAACAAATGCTTCCAGACCCTGATGCTTCAAGAAGCTCAGAGCTCTTACACACTTTTTAGGGGATGGTGCTCTCATTACATAGGCCCTTAATCTGACCTATCTGACCACAAGCAATGCAGAAATTCTCTCCACAATAATGCAGGAATGCTAAAGGAATATTTTTATTTCTGTTCGCCAGAAGACAGCCATTGCCAAATTGTTGTGCATTTATTTGAATTTGGGTTTGTATATGATAATGACATCAGCCTCTGAAAATCCACAGCTTGCAACAATGAATAAAACCATAAAAATTATGAAAGAAAGGCAATTCCAATTAAGATTGTCGCCTTTCCAGTAAATCCATTAAAATACTGGTGGTAACAGGCATCTGATGAGCTTTCTTTCTAACATCATTTAGGATCCTTAACCTGAAAGGGAGGTGTGGATGAGTGACTTATCTTTTTCCAATGAGATGTTGTATAACTCTTTACTGGAACGTAGATTCCTAGGTATCTAAATATAAGTCTGTTAGATGAGAAAATGCCCATGTCTGAACTTGTACCTGTTAAGTTTTATCAAAATAGCATGTGAGTATAGTCACATTTCCTTGTGACTATGGGAATTTCCTACTTATCAAGTCAAAACCTGTGAATGCTAAAGGGGAATGAGTCCTCACTGATTATTTAATAACTGCTAACTTGAGGTGATCACTCAGACACACCCAAACAGCTCATACAGAGAGGGGTATTTAACCAGGGCATTGGACATTAACACACCACCCTTCTACCTAGTTTCTGAGAGATTTACTCACTTATCTTCCTACTTAGAACAGACAAGTTCTGTTTCTGCCTTCTGAGGATCTAAGATCTGGACATCACTAAAGAAATTACCAGCATGGTGAGTCTTGCCCTGTTCTATAGAGAGCACGTAGCTCTGTGAAACCCACAAGAACAAAGGCTCAGTGTTGGTTCTTCCATGTGGGAAAGAGGGAGAAGGGCTAGTCCCAGTGGTCTTCACAGCAGTAAACTCTCAACTCAAGAAGATGATAGGCATTTTTATGACTCTATCCTTAAAGCCTGAACAGAGAAAAATTTGTTTTGACTCTTGCAGATTATAAAGTAAACGTTCTATGTTTAAGTCTAAATAAGTAGGAGAGAAGCCTGGTTATTCTGTCTGAAGGATGTATAAGATCCTGGTGATTGTGGTGAGTGACTGGATAAAAGAAAAGGAAATGACGTGAATGAGCTTCCATGAAACGGCATTGAGTGAACAAGCACGGTGGATTTTAGACTGTGTTGTTTAGTGTTATTGCCATGTTAAGAGCATGAGTGCTGAAGAATGTGTGGAATAGAAAATTTCTCAGATTCACAAAAACATGTTGCCTTAGTGATTTCATGTGCATATTTAACATCCTCCTCCACTCTTCTTATGCCAGTTAAAACAGCAGTGCTCCACGTACTGTTAGAGTTCCTTCTTGCTGAAAAGTTATTGCTTTGGTTGCTTGGCTTGTTTCTGTTTATTTTTTTTCTGGTGCTAATATGTAGGCAACAAAAGGGAAATTTAAATAGAAATTCATTTCTAGTGATTATTTTTAAAGTATTTTAAATAGTCTTGGTAAAACCTGGTATAAGACTTTAGTACACTTGAACTTAGCATCTTTTTGTTGTTGTTGGGCTATTTTTTTTTTTTTTTGCCTCTTTGCTTGTTTGGTTTTTGTTTTTCAAAACAGGTTTTCTCTGTGTAACAGCCCTAGCTGTCCTGGAACTAGCTCTTGTAGACCATGCTGGTCCTCGAATGTACAGAGATCTGCTTGTCTCCGCCTTCTCAGTGCTTGGATTAAAGGCACGCAACACCACTGCCCAGTCAAACTTATCATTTTAAATAAGTTGATTTGGAAACTGTTCCCATATTAGAAAAATCTTGCAAAGTTTATCAGTTAAATAGACCAAATTTCTAAATATTTTCAGATGTTTGCACCTTGTTCTTGTAGTAAGTGCCAAATACTGCCGAATCTACCATAAAATTGGTAGGAACGCTTTCTTCTTCTTTTGTTCTTCAAATTTTCAGGTATGTGTACTCTCTCACACACATGGAATGAATGTATATGATGTATATACATGGATAAATGCATGTACATATGAAGCAAAACATTCCATGATACTACTTATAGAGCCTTGAAGAAAAATGCTGTAAGAAAATATGGTACAATTTTACTATAAGATAAATTCATATTAAAGCTGCTATCCCTTTTAAGGAAAAGAAAACATATTGTGTTATTCGACAGTAGTTTGTAATGTTAAGTTATTTAAAGCTACATACAAACACGTATATACACACATATATAATTATTTTCTTCATGTATTATACAAAGAAATTTGTTTTTAATTTTTCCACCACTGAGGAATGTTTTGTTACAATATATAGGTGCATAACTTAACTAAAATTTGACTGTCATCACTTGACTAGCTGGGTCATTCATGAACAACCTATAGAGAACATTTTTCTTGACTCTGTTGGTCTCACTTCACTTTAATATAGCTATCTTACATTTTTTTTTTTCGAGACAGGGTTTCTCTGTGGTTTTGGAGCCTGTCCTGGAACTAGCTCTTGTAGACCAGGCTGGTCGCGAACTCACAGAGATCCGCCTGCCTCTGCCTCCCAAGTGCTGGGATTAAAGGTGTGCGCCACCACCGCCCGACATCTATCCTACATTTTAAGACAATAAAAACTACTTATCCTTATGTCCTTTTTCATGTTTCCCTCAACCATGTTCTTTTCTTCTCTCTGTCATCAGAGTTTTCAATATTTTGGTAAATAATATTTTAATTAATTCATTAAAAATTACACTCTCCTAAGCTACAGAGAAACCCTGACGTGAAAAACCAAAATAAATTTAATACAATATATTTTATAATTTTTGACAATTTTTCCATTATTTCTACCCCTTAACTGTTCTTGTCTCCCCCACAATCCTTTTCAAATTCATAAATTATTTAATTATTAAAGCATAATAGCATATGTTTATGTACATGCATGTATATGTACATTGTTTGTATGTGTATGTGATTAGAGCTGACAAGTTGGGATCTGATAATTATTAGAAGCTTTGGTTCAACACTGGAGAAGATTGTTTCTACCTTTCTTTTATTTTGTTTTTTGTTTGTTTTTCTTCAAGACAGGGTTTCTCTCTGTAACAAACCTAGCTGTCCAGGAACTCACTTTGCAGACAAGTTTTGCCTCAAACTCACAGAGATCTGCCTGCCTCTGACTCCCAAGTACTGGGATTAAAAGTGTGAGCCACCACTGCCCACCTCCATTCTGCCTTTTGTAATAACCCACTTAATTCCTTAATTCATGTAGCTCTTCATTTGGGAGAAGGTGTGGGAGATTTCCTCCATCCAGGCTATAATGTGAACCAGTGTTGCCATTATGAATATTATTTAGGAAGTCATGTTATTAAATTTTCATTATATGTCCATGTGCCATATAGAGAAGACACTGTCTTACACTAAACAACGTGGTCATCTGGCTCTTACATTCTTTCTGCCACTGTCTTCCCTTAGCCTGGGTGCAGAGATTGTATTAGAGATGCAACAATTAGGGATGAACACTCCACAGTGTTGTCCCCGTGATTTTTATCAGATATGAATTTAAGCAATGCTTTCATCTACTGCAAAAAGTAGCTTCTTTGAAGAAGGATGAGAGCTGCACTTATCTGTAGGATTCAGAATGGGTATTTAGAATGAAATACAGTTGGCAATTGTACTGGTCTAAGAAAATGACAATAGTTCTTTTTCATCTAGGGACCATGAGCTCACCATCCAGTAGCTGGCTAGGTTTTCAGTACCGGATATGATTTCCCTCCCATTGAGAGGGCCTTATGTCCAAGTGGACAATTGTTGGTTACTCCCAAAATACAAGTGCCACCATTGCCCCATTAAGAAAATCTTCCTGTGCTGGTCATTGTTGTTCATATGTAACTTGGAAGGAGTATTAATTACTTTTCTCTTGTGGCAGGTAGCATATCAACTACAGATGGATTGAGAGCAAGTCCAAAACTCTTCAAATGTTGTACTCCAGATATCTAGATTCCATCACAAAACCACAAATGTGAACAACCAGGAGAATATAGCTCTTGCTGTACACAGTAATCCCGCTATAACAAGCTGCAATAAAAGCAATTTAGATAAATCAGTGGCAAAAACTTTAAAAAGTAATTTGAAATATGTCTGAGGCTATGAAAAAATTCTTCATAAAGACTGTGAAATTATAAACAGTTGAATGAAAAATGAAAACAATTAAAGACCCAAAAGTAGAATTTAGCAAAAATATTGAACCACTATGAAAACCTAAACATAAATAAAACTGGAAATAAAATACTCAGGAAGTCTACAAAAGCCTCAGATGTAAGTCTCACCAACAAATTAAAAGATATGGAAGAGAGGATTTCAGAATTTAAAGACAAAGGAGAAAAAAATTGAATACCTTATCTAGGTCAAAGAAAATATTAAATACAAAACCAAATACAATTAAGAATTGTACAACACAGAGTAATATGGTGTGTGTGTGTGTGTGTGTGTGTGTGTGCGTGCCACACACCGTGCCCCAGTGTCTGTGCTCTGTGCGCTAGAACCCAGTTCGCAAGCTTCGGGAAAGGATGCTGGAGGTTGAGAATACAGACACAGAGACAGACCGACACACGCAGACCTTCAAACGCTGGTTCAGAAAGTCCCCTTTATTAACACCAAGTAGGCTTAAATACTCTACAGTCAATGGCCAACAGGTGATACTCCCATCCTCTGAACCTCTAAGCTAGGCATAGTTTCTAGTAACTTCAATTAGAAGGTTCTAGCAGGGTAGAGCAGCTGAAAGCCAGGACTCATTAATCCCAACATCCAGCTGAAGGCCAGGACTGAATTGGTCCCAACATGTGTGTTTGCGCGTGCATGAGTGCGTGTGTGTGCATGTGCGTGTGTGCATGTGCATGTGTGTTGTGTTTAGACGATGAAGCTAGAAAAGAGAACATGAGAAGGAAGGTATAAGTCTTAAGCAAAGGGAGAAATGGTAATGGTGGAGGAATACACGTGACAAGAAAGCAGAGTAGGGACAATCTTGGAGAGAAAACAGGAAACCTGCAAGAACGGGTGGGAGGGCACAAAGGAGACTTCATGGCAGAGAATGATGAGAGTAAAGTATGTAAAACATATTTACAGACTGGGGCTCATCATCTTTGTTAGGATAGCTGAAAGACAGATGCTGAAGGTATCTGTGGATGTGAATGTGTTATCATTTCAGGTTAAATTAAAGAACAAAAACCTGTGAAAAAGACTAAAGAGAAAATTTATTCTTTGTGACTTTGAAAATAACTATTGAGGTTTAAAGGAGAACAATCTTTTTTTTTCTTTGTAAACAGAAGAAGTCATGCAAAACATCTGCTGCTACAGAAGAAGACACACTATCTGAGACGATGTCCCAGCTTAACATAGCATCAGCTGCCAGCACACATCCTGCTGATGATCAAGATCAGACTGCTCCCAACCATTCCCTAGACTTTGCTGAGAGTCTCCCTACTCCTGCTCCAGGCCTCACTGTGAGTCAACCACAGATTCTTTTCTGGAATCCACCAACCTCTCCTAGCCATTTCTCATCAAGTGTTATGATTTCCTGTTTCCTTTATGATATCTTCATGATATAACAACAGGGCTTATAACCTTGAAAAAAGTTCTTTAACTTCTCACAAATTTATTTATTTCATGTGTTTATTCATTTATTGAGTGTAAGTTTTGAAATACTGCCTGCAATTTACATAAATATACTCTTCTACTGCTTGTGTCTTTACATCAGAACACTTTTTGTGGCATTTCAGCGCAGCATCATTTGGAGCATAAGGTCCTTAGGCAAATCTAATTATTTGTGTTCATAAATAATAATAGTAATATAATTAGAAACATTCATATGTCTGGAAAAACCACAATCAATTTGATTTAATAATAATGTTTCTTTGAATGACCCCAGCTTTATAAAACAATTTTCTAAGAGGCTTTGAATTTAGAAGACTGGTTCCCTGCTTGATCATAAACACGTAAGGCAGTCAACGATACTGAACATCACAATTATATTGAAATGATTCCATGACAACTTACCATTACTTTTAAGACAAAATTTAGAATAAAGTTTTATACTTTTTATAACTTTATAAAAAATGTATTGAACACAATAGATATGCTCTTGCAGAAATTTTATTTAAGCTGAGTTATGATCCCTATAAAGATTTTAACTAAATGGGTATTGACATGAGTCCTAACTGGGCTTTGTGCATGACAGCCCAACAAGCTACCATTTCACAGGTAACTCCAAATATTGACTGTTATCTAGGCTTTTTTGCTATTTGTGTCATAAATTTTTTCTGAGCTCTGTTGGACCCCCTCCATTTTAAGTTGCTCTCCTGAAATTCAGAAATAGTGCAAGAAAGTCAGCCGTGGTAGTTCACAACTGTAACCTTTGCATTAAGGAGACAAAGGCAAGTGGGCCTCTGTGGTTTGAAGACAAGCCTAGTCTACATTGTACATTCCAAGATAAATAATGAGATCCTGGCTCAAAAAGAAAGGAATTTAGGTAGGAAGGAAAGAAGAAGGAAGGAAAGAAGGAAGGAAGGAAGGGAGGGAGGGAGGGAGGGAGGGAGGGAGGGAGGGAGAGAAGGAAAGAAGGAAGGAAAGAAGGAAGGAAGGAAGGAAGGAAGGAAGGAAGGAGAGAAGGAAGAAAGGAAGGAGAAAAGGAAGAAAGGAAGGAGAAAAGGAAGAAAGGAAGGAAAGAAGGAAGGAAGGAGAGAAGAAAGAAAGGAAGGAAAAAATAAAGGATTTATTATCTACTACCACAACTTCAGTTCCACTTTTAATGGATACACTGGAAATTGTGTGCTTTGTGAATTATTTGGTGGTCTTTATAACAGTCCACTAATTTATTTTATACATATCATAAAACTTTCTTTTTAATTTTAATCTAGTCATTGCTGCTTGCTTACTTATATACACATTACTAACTCTAACTATATCGCTCTTTGATATTTATGTTATACTAATCGGTTATACTGTTGGAAAAATCAGATCCAAGTGAATGCTAATCACTAATAGGTAATAACTGTGTGTGAAATGATGCTTGGATTATTTGCATTCCCTTTGGTCTGTGAAGACAACTCTAGCTCCTTATATGCAGATGTCCAAGCTTATAGCTTTTCCTTACTTTGCATATTCTGTCTTACAGTTAGGCAATCTTCTCCTCATAGAAACACTCTGTATTACTCTGTGATCTCAGAACACTGTGCAGATAAGAGATTTGATGCCTATCAATTTCCCTGTATTACAAACCCCTGATATTGAGAAAAAAAACTCTAAACATTAAGGACATGACTCTAACCAAAGTACCTCTACCTGAACCTATTTAAAAGAGGTGGCTGTGAGCCAGCTCACGTTGTTTTTGATTATTAAATAAGAGTCAGTAGCTACCTTCAAAGGAGACATACTTTGATTTATACCCACATAATAACCTAAGAAACTTCAATTGTATGTTTTATATTTACTATTCTCTAATCCAACAATATTTAATTTCCCCATTTTATATTCTTCTGTCATAAGAGAAAAGGATATATTTGAATTAATGATAATTTTACTTAAGTACTTCAGACAATTGCTCTCAACAGCTTGTGCTGTTTTATGGTGAACATCCTGTCTCTCATTAGAAAGATTCCTATGCTTTTCAGGGAGAGTGTTCAAAATCTGTGGCTCAAGCCCATTGCTTTAACTCATTAGTCTTTTGTCCAGTGAAAGAATTTCTCTTTACCTTATCTATAGTTCTACAAATACATACAAACCTTTAGGACCAATATGGACTTTGAGATTTATCTTATATGAAGGTTAATTTTTATTTGTTGCTAAACTTACAAGTTTATATCCCTGTGTTTGTTAACTTCAGAACCAAAAGACACGAGCTGTTGGCCAAAATGAGGCCATGACTGTGATGGTGCTGGATGCAACAGAGCCCTTTGAATATGAGTCAACAAAAAATGAAGTAAAGGTGATGTTTCATGCTAGAGTGGCCACTGTGAATGAGTGTTTCAACGTGGAAGTTCTCAATATGAACCTGATAAAGAAGTTCACAAAAAATAATGTCATCAAAATCGCCAATTATGTCAAGGTCAATGGAATCCTAGAGATAACTGAAAAATCCTCTGTGACTGAAGCTGGTCCCGACGAAAAGATTGAAGTCCCCCAAAAGCTTATCACAGTAGCAAAGAAAACTCCTATGATTTCTGATATTAACAGGATTTTTTGTGGAGAACCATTTTATGGGTCGTTTACATTAAACAAGGTAATACTTAAAATTTGCTTTTTTTAAATTTTTCTTCCATAACAACTGGAATTAAATATGATAACTTTCCAGTCATAGTTTAATGATAATGTTGTAGCACAAGACTCTTGACTATGGGTGGAAGGTGAACTCATCCCACCTATGAAGGAATAAGAGTGGATGACTTATTCATACTCCTTAGGATGTCTCTTAAAGAGCACCAGAAAATGACTCACCAAGAAACTTTATTTTGCTAGTTAAAACTCAATGAGAAGGAATGTTGCAGGTCACAGGTCAGGGTCATGTCAACAATCTCAAATTTTTTTGTTGTTATACTACAACTATACAATGCTCGTTATTTTTTTCTATACATCCTGTTTCTACAGATTCCCTGAAAAGGGGTGAATGTTGATTGTGACATATATTTGAAGTAATAAATGGATTAGTGACATCCTCACAAATTCAAAACCATTCAAGAGAACGAATTTATTCTCTCTGCAGATAGGTTTTAACATTTAGTCTTGACTCATACATTATTCAGTTAGCTAATTATTTCTGAAGACCTTAGCAACAAAGACCTATTTATGAAACAACCTTTAGAGAGTAAGTAAGTCTAGTTTTCTCTTTTACAAATGAAAAAATATATAGATAGCTCATTGGTGCATTAATTCCCAAATTACAAGTATTGAGTTTTTTTAAAAAACATGACAACCTTGGTGAACTCAACAAATGTTTCATAAACTTGCCACTTTTAAGGCTCTTTAGTTCATCTTCTTTTCAAAACTCTTTTATATTTTAAAGCTGTTACTTTATAGCACACTCCTTAGCGACAATGCTTATGAACACAATACAGTGAACTGTGAAAGTCAATACAGTATGATTTGGGGACTTTGACTTTCTTGGACATGATGCCTGAAAAAGGTAAGAAAATGTATAGGGTCCAAATGAGTGGACTACTGGAATCTTACCTGTTCTGGAAATTCCCTATAATCTATTGAATGAATGAATAGTAAAAGAAAATGTCTGTTCATTCTTTTATAAGAAGAGGATACAAAGATGGTTGCCTGAAGTTCTGATTCCTGAGATTTATCCAGGTGATTTTTGGAGAATCCAGACTGTTGAAGAACAGGAAGTAGTGAAAAACAGGAAGAACATTTATTGTTGTAACACTTCCAGGCAGAAATTTTCTAGATAAGGAAAGAAAATCATTGCAGTAATAAAAAATAATTCTTTGGGAAGACTTTAACAAAGATGCCTGTATGTCCATGTCTGTAACAGGTTCCATATTTTCCAGTGATTTTTGAAATGGAAAAGACTGTTTTGAGTGTATACCAAAATGAGATAACTTTCAGAAAAGTAATGTTAATTTTGCTTTTGCAGAAAAAGTACGACAAAACGAACATAGTCTATGAAATGAAGGATGATACAGGAACTATAGACATGGAAGTGAGTGGGATACGCTTTGACATCAAATGTGAGGAAGGAGACACACTACAACTCTTTGGCTTTGAACTGACAAAAACTAACGGTCAAGTGAAGCTGGTGTCTGGAAAACACAGTTTCATTAAGGTACAAAGTAGACAAGGAACAGATTTATCAAAGCAGAAATTCACATTTCTTTAGGATTCNGTAATAATCCAAAGACTATTGTATGTATGCTATATAACAGGATGTATGAAGAAATTGAAATGGCATGGAAGTACATTTGAATAGTGATCAAGAGCAAGAGTTTTGAATAAGTCAGATGTGATTTGAATGCCAGCTTCAACAATTATGATGTGGCTGGTTCTGGGGGAAAGTTTAACTCTGAATCTGTACTTTAAGGGAAGAAATGCCTATATATTTGTGAGTTCACACAGTGTTTAGCACATTTTAAGAAGTGAGTAGATACTATTTTCTTAATTGGGTAAATACACTAGAGAGAGAGAGGTCTAGGAAATAGAAAGGTTATGAAAATATACCAAAGAGTGAATCATCAGTATTAATTCCACTACACATGGAAATATTCAGCTTACTTAGATAAAGTCATGTTTAGAAGGAGGAGCCTTCTCTTCAAGGACCATATAGTTGGAAAGAGGTGGCTCAAAATAGGACAATACAATGAAGAAGATGAAGCAGAGAAGATCAACAGCCTTTGAGAGGGCCAAAGGTCATATAAGGCTATTGAGGCCAATAGACAGGAATGGGTGACTGGAGAATGTATAAACAGCACTTTAGCTCAAATTGTTAGAATCTTATAGTATCTCTCACTGTCTCTTTCAAGGTCCTCAAAGCTGGAAGAAAGAAAATATCCCTCTCTCCATCCAAACCCAATTAATGAAGAAGGAAGTGGTGACCCACAAAATTAATTCAGTGCTTTCAACAGTGGAGCTTTGAAAATAGGAACACCAAGCAACTGGAAACAAGCAACAGCTATAGAAGTACATCCAAGCATTTAAGAATTGTTAGCTGACTTGTGATTATGTATTTTCATTTATAGAATTCCTTATCTTTTTTTCTATGAAAATATCACTTGAGTTTAATTTTTCCAGTGTTAAAGTAAGAAAAATTTCTTTTGAAAAGGATACAAACATTCAGTCAAAGTAGTCATCTACAGTATGTGGAAAGATTTTTACTTACTGTTCTTCTGATAGAGGACTAATATCCAAAATATATAAAGAACTCAAAAGTAGATAAGCAAGAAAACAAATAACCCAATTGAAATTTGGCTAAAGATCTAAGCAGAGCATTCTCAAAGAGGAAATTCAAATGGATTTGACACACTTAAATGTTCAATATCCTTAGGTATCAGGGAATGTAAATGATATTATTTTAAGAATTCATCTTAAACCTGTCTGAATAGCTAAGATCAGTAAAACAGGTGACAGTTCACGCTGGTGAGGATGTGGAGTAAGGGAACAGCCATCCATTGCTGGTGGAGTGCAAACTTGTACAACTTATGTCAGTTTCTTTTAAACACTTTTAAAGCAATTCACATTTTTAGATAATTTTGTCTGGGAAAACTTTTCCAGACTCAAAACCATAAGACTGTATCCTTTTTCTCTTTAGAGTATAGCAGTTTAGTTCTTTCCCTTTTAGCATATTATCTGATTTTTTCCATATTTTTAAGATGTCAAATGGGATTTACTTTAAAATGAGTATGAAATTTGTCTCATTAAAGTGACTATTATTGGTAAAAATATGCTTAAATAAACTCTCCTTTCTCCACTTATTTATTGCTTATTATTTTCCAAAAGCAGCTTTCTAGATTCTTTACTGTATTTGACCAGCATTTCCTCTGTATTTTAAATGCAAAACTACATTAAAATTGATGCTCACCTTCCTAGACCTGGATGGAGGGAGGAGGACCTTGGACTTCCCACAGGGCAGGGAACCCTGACTGCTCTTTGAACTGGAGAGGGAGGGGGAGGGTGATGGGGGAGGGGGAGGGGTATGGAAGGAGGGGAGGAGGTGGAAAATTTTAAGTAAAAATAAAAAAATGTAAAAAAATTGATTAAAGACAATGTTATAATTTTAATACAAAATGTTATGTTTTCAATATTCTACATATAAAACTCAACATATAACATCTGACACACTTTATCTTACAAACACAAGGAAACAATTGTTAAAAATCAGTTTCTCACATAATCTAAGTACAATAGACTAAAATACATTTAGAAATAGCCTTTTAAATTTTGATCAATTTTACCTCTTCCTACTTCTTCAGTTCCTCTGTTACGTGTACCTATCCCATACCCAGCTTACTTGATTTAAGGAGTAATTTCTGTCTAATTAGTGCATCTATATATTCTTGGCTATTGTCACACACTGGAGTGTATTCCATCTACCAGTAGTAAGGTAACCCAGACCCAGAAAGACAAATATAATAATATACTCATTTATAAGTGACTTTTAGACATAAAACAAAGAAAAAACAGCCTACTGCCCAGAACCCCAGAGAACATACACAACAAAAAGGACCCTAAGAAAGACATGTATGGATCCACATATGAAGGAGAAAAAGACAAGATCTCCTGAGTAAATTAGGAGCCTGTGAGTCATGGGAGATGGTAGAAGGTAACAGGAGATAAAGGAAGGGTAGCAGAGAAAAATATATAACTCAATTCAAAAAATACCTCTCTCTCTCTCTCTCTCTCTCTCTCTCTCTCTCTCTCTCTCTCTCTCAGGTTTAATATCTTGTCTCAAACTCCTTTCTCCATGTTGGGCTTTTGTCTGATTAAAGTTAGACAGGTCTGGTCTAACTTTATGAGGTGAATACTCTCATAAACACTAAATGTTCATATGTGCAAGTTCCCTGTTCTATCCATAAACTTTGTTTCCTATAGTCATCTGCTTTTGCTACAAGGCTCTACCAGGCTGCAGGAAGCACGTAAGTACTTGTGTTGGCAGACAAGCACTGGGGAAATGAGGAACGCTAAACGCACATGATTGGATTGTCTTTTTAAAGAAAGAGATATGTGTTCTGCTCAGAAGACTGTAAATGAGTATGGTTAATAGCCTGGTGACTTCTAGACTTTTCATATGGCCAGACATTACCAGATCACCCAGACTCCTACATTAATCTCAGTAAATCTATAGCACTGGCTTTCCTAAAACTTCATCATGAACATTGTTAATTTTGAGCCTGCTTTCTTAATTAATCTGTAGAACTCATTCTTATGGAATATACCACTTGAACTTTATCAGATTCTAGATGTTGCGATGGCTTAATGTTCATTATGAAACAGGATTAAGTTAATTATCACCAGGAATTTTTTTCCAAGCTGTGCTGTGCTTAAATATGCTTGAAATAACCTGATATCAGACTCTAATTTGAAACAACACAGGCCACTGAGACATGTTGAACCAAATCTCCTTACCTCCCCTGTATTGGTACTCTGCTGGCCATGGTGTTTAGCATAAAGCTGATCTCCTACAATGCCCTCCAACATGTGGGAAGAGGGTTTGCATTATAGATGTCGCATTTAGGGCTGAGCACTGCACAGTCTCTTATTCTCTACACCTTGACCAGTTGTGAATCTTTGTTTTGATTACCATAGTAATGAGAAGTCACTAGTTGTCACTTTAATATTATGTCACTTTGGCAGAGTAATAAATGTCAACTCTTCCCTTTAGTCTATGACTTGTCTTGCCCTATGTTCTTGGTCTAGATAATAATACCATGTGTGGATTCTATCTTGAGAAGTGGGACTTAAATCCAAGAAAAAAGCAGTTGGTCACTCCAATGATATCCATGCCACTATTTTATCTCTGGGCATATATTTCTAGGCTTGCCATTGTTGATGCTTGTGAGACTCAAAAATAAATAAAACTGATGTTTACTTTTGTCCTCTGATAGCATACATGCATGTCACCTTCTAATGCTCTGAAAGCTAACCAGTGGAGATGAAGCTTCCAAATTAAAACCAACTTGTTTCTCTATGTTTTGGTGACCCATTCATGTCATGTCTTCAAGAATAGGGACTTAAAAAAATCATTAAAGAAAAAAATGATCAGTAAACACTACAATCCTAAATATATACTCACAAAGCAGAGGCACTCCATTTATAAAAGAAATACTAATAGTTTAGGAATAAATTTTTAAAATCAGCAAAGATAAATATTTTAACTATTGAGAGAGTTATTCTTATGTAAATGCAAACATATGTGACACTTTGTATTTTATTAATCACTAAGATGAATAGAATAGCATTCTCACAATATGTAAAGGCCATGCAAAACTTTAGAAGTGACAGCAAAATCATGACTGTGGTGCAAGATATGCCTAGGGAAAACCTGTGACAAGATGGGGAGGAAGACCCTGGGACCCACAATTCATAGTACTCTATTCACTGTGATCCGAAAAAATAGCCCTCAAATAATGGAAAAATAAAAATTTTTAAAAGAGAAACTCTAATACTTTTTGGAAGAATTATCATACAACTCAAAGACTGGTATCAAAGACTGAGAGCAAAAATACATAAAGAAAATGGAGAGGCTATATGGGAAGTGCCAGTTGCACTAGTTATCAAGACTACTATAAATAAAAAACTACTATAATACAAAGGCATCAGGTTAGTGGAAAAGAGAAAAATCAACAGGGATGTAGTAAGGAAGTAGAACATTGTTGCAAGAAAACATGGCCTTCTATCATGAGGGAAGGATGGAGAGCTATGAAAAAGTAGGGGAGGTCATGTAGAGTGAAAACAGCCTGATTCATGTTCTTTCCATTAGCTCTTTTTTTTTTTTTTATTTGGTTTGGTTTTTGAGGCAGGATCTGACTGCATAACACTGCCTGACCTGAAACACATTATATAACCAGGCTGGCCTCAAGCCCATGGAGACAAGCCTGTCTCTACCACCTGAGTAGCCTGCATGGATACAAATAAGTAATATTGGATATTTACCTTACAAAATATGTAATAAAAAACTAAAGATCTAAAATAGAACGTATTATTATTACAGTTTCATAAGTATTTTTTCATTTTATACTTTTAAAATATATTTTAAATAAGATACAATTACACCACTTCATCATTCTTTTTTTCTCCAGCACCTCCTAGATTCTACTCATTTTCAATCTGATAGAATTCTAAAAAATAGTTTTGTTATATGTTAAATAACATACTATGCAAGTATGTAAGTATTTTTATTGAGTTCTACATTTTCTGTGCTCCCCTCCCTGACTCTTCCCTCCCTGCCTCTCCACTCACCTTCAATACCCCCCCAAAGGTCCCCATTCACCCAATTTACTCAGGAGATCTTGTCTTTTTCCACATCTCATGTAGATTAGATGTATGTATGTATGTATATAAGAATGTATGTATGAGTGCTGAAGAATGTGTGCAATAGAAAATTTCTCAGATTCACAAAAACATGTTGCCTTAGTGATTTCATGTGCATATTTAACATCCTCCTCCACTCTTCTATGCCAGTTAAAACAGCAGTGCTCCACTTACTGTTAGAGTTCCTTCTTGCTGAAAAGTCATTGTTTTGGTTGCTTGGTTTATTTCTGTTTAGTTTTTTTCTGGTGCTAAAATGTAGGAAACAAAAGGGAGATTTAAATAGAAATTCATTTCTATTGATTATTTTTAAAGTATTTATATAGTCTTGGTAAACCCTGGTATAAGACTTTGGTACACTTGAATTTAGCATCTTTTTGTCGATGTTGGGCTATTTTTTTTTTTTTTGCCTTTTTGTTGTTTGTTTTTTCCAAAAGAGGGTTTCTTTGTATAACAGCCCTGGTTGTCCTGGAAGTAGCTCTTGTAGACCATACTGGCATCGAACTCACAAAGATCTGCCTGTCTGTGCCTCCTGAGTGCTGGGATTAAAGGCATGCACCTCCACTGCCCAGTCAAACTTATCATTATAAATGTTGATTTGAGAACTCTACCCATATTAGAACAATATTGCTAAGTTTATCAGTTAAGTAGACCAAATTTCTGTGTCTGTGCCACGCACCGTGCCCCAGTGTCTGCGCTCTGTGCGCTAGAACCCAGTTCGCAAGCTTCGGGAAAGAGTGCTGGAGGTTGAGAATACAGACGCAGAGACAGACTGACACAGGCAGACCTTCAAACGCTGGTTCAGAAAGTCCCCCTTATTAACACCATGTAGGTTTAAATACTCTAAAGTCAATGGCCAACAGGTGATAATCCCATCCTCTGAACCTCTAAGCTAGGCACAGTTTCTAGTAACTTCAGTTACAAGGTTCTAGCAGGGTAGAGCAGCTGAAAGCCAGGACTCATTAATCCCAACATCCAGCTGAAGGCCAGGACTTAATTGGTCCCAACATGTGTGTGTGCATGCATGAGTGCATGTGTGTGTCCTGTGTATGTGCGTGTGTGTGTGCGTGTATGTGTGTGTTCGTGTGTATGTGCATGTGTGTGTGTTCGTGTGTGTGTGTGTGTGTGTGTGTGTGTGTGTGTGTGTGTACCATGAAGCTACCTGCTTCGCCCGCGACAGCTGCGTCGCCCGCCGTGCGTCGGTCTGCCCGCCGCTGCCGTGCGTCCTCTTCATATTTTTCAAAGATTATAGAATATGGCATTTTAAATGGTTTAATAACTTAGGACTTTTCATGACAATGAGACATTCTGCTCCTGGCAGCACCAATCTACTTCAGGAAGAAGATGGGCATCGAAGAGGATCCTTATGGAGTTTGATAGCCATTTGGGCAAGAAACTGCTCTTGCCTGGACTTTTGCATAAACTGGACACATAGAACTCTCAGAGAGAGGACTTCTGAACTTGCCTAAAGGTGAGATGATCTTTTGGGGTTCCTGATTCATGAAAGAGTCTGCAAGACATTCTTCAGGACAAGCAGATAGTGACTGTCTTTGAAATTTCCTGCTTTGTGGAAATGTCTGCTGGAAACTATGGGCCTGTAGGCTGAAGATGGATGCCCCAACGGTACAGAGGAACTTTGGGTGACTGTCCAGGCAGCGAGATGTCTCTGTCATTTCTAGAGTTTGAAAGTTGCTTATTTCTTGTTTGCTTAGGTAATATTGTATCTTTCTGGAGTCTTTGATGGAGTTAAGAATAGTTAGCTATAGTTATAGTTTTCCTTAGTTTTGATATAGATTATTGTAATTTTTACTTGATAACTGTTTTGTTATATGTAATTTTGCTCCGTTAAAGTTAAAGCCTTCTTTTTTTGTTTAAACAGAAAAAGGGGAAGTGATGTGGGAGTGTCATATATCAATCTGTTGATTTCATTGGTTAATTAAATAAAGAAACTGCTTGCCCTGATAGGTTAAAACATAGGTGGGAGGAGTAAACAGGAGGAAGAGGATGTGCGGTAAGACTCCTCGGACAGATGCGAGATAGCTCTGCTCTCAGAGACACACGCGATGAAGCTCCAACTCAGGATGGACGTAGGCTAGAATCTTCCCAGTAAGCGCACCTTGGGGTGCTTACACACATTATTAGAAATGGGCTAGTCCAGGTGTGAGAATTAGCCTAGAAGAGGCTAGATAGAAATGGGCCAAGCAGACTTTAAATGAATACAGTTTGTGTGTTGTTATTTTGGGCATGAGCTAGCAGGCAGCCGGGGTGCCTCATATTTCAACAACCACTGGACCCTAAGGCAAACTGTCTGGGCAAAGGACATCTTTCATTTTAATTGATACAAAGACCAATTAGATTATATTTCCAGTCACAGTTTATCCTTTTTAAATCTCTGAGAAACTGACTGACTGCAGCTTTAAACATAACAAACACTTTTCCAAGGCTTCAGCTTCCTTCTCAGTTTTCTTCAAAGGTAAAAATTGGGTCATTGGCCTCATTTCCTGAAGCTAAAGCCAGGTCTACCAAGTAAGAAATAAACTTACCAAGCCGATTTCAAAGTAACTATTTATTATTCCTTTGTTTAAAGAAACTTCAGGAATCATCTACCTATGTCATCCGATAAATAACTGGATTAAAAAAAAAGGTGCAAAGCTTAAAGTTTAACTTATAAGGATTCAAAAACATACTTTATGTATAAAAAAGATGTTTTAAGGTTTATAAGCACAAGTTTACATAATGTTTGAGAACACAAAGGCTTAATTTATGATAAAAATGATTTAAGACACACAAAAATAAAAAAAAATGTTTTAACTCTCTTCCCCTCTCTATGATCTTGTTATATTGAGACTTCTAAATCAATAAAACTCTGATAAGCTATTAATCTAGCTCCGGTAAACACTGAATATTTTCATAGTAATAAGTTCAAGGTTTTAAATTCCTTTTGGTTGTTTTCTAAGTATAGATTTTAAAAATATATTTCAAATTGTGCTAAAATCATCTGCCTAATCTATATTTACCCAATCTTTTAGAAAAAGGAAAAAATGTTAATGCTTTCAACCAAAATCAATTTTAGGTTTCCAAACTTTTACTATGACTCAAGGACATGAGTCTACTGCCTTTTCTACAACATGGGTACAGACTATAAACAATAACAATGTTAACATATATAGAACTGTTGACTCTTTAATAAGAATCTTATAAGCTTTAGGAAATCAACTTGGATCCACCACCTCTCACAGGTCAAAACAGACTCCAGATAAGTACCACCAATTAGCAGTCTATTTCATTACCCACCTATACCTTAGGGGGTGTGACCTCTTCCCCTTCCCCTAGTTTGGTACACCCCTCTCCCATCTGCCAGTACCATGGACCTGGAAATTTCAAAGGTACACCAAAGAGAAAAAATTTCCCCTTAAAGTCCCCCTGGGGGGCAGTAGCCTCCAGCAGCATGGGGCTTGGAAGGGACCAATGGAAACAGCATAAAAGATTTTTTTTTAATCTGGTGATGGAGGGGAAGAAAGACACTCAGGTACTCTTTTGATGGTTTCCTTCAGAGGTTTTCTTTCTTCTTCTTTTTTATTCTGATTTTGTAATCTCTTCTCTCTTTTCTTATCTCCATCCTTTCCAGACCTGTGCTGATGGAGGCTGCCCACCCTTGAAGATAATGAAGTTAAGGAATTGTAAGAGCATACCACCCCTCTGAGATTATGGGGGCCAATTACACACAAACTCCCACATGACTCATCACAGATCTTTCACTGTACAGGAAAAGTGCAATGCAGGATAAGGAACAACAGCATCTGACAAGTTTACCTCTGACTGCTTCCATCCTGAACCGCACAGGAGGGTGAGAAGACTGAGCAATTCACTTTTATTCCTTAGTGATTTCATCTTCACTTCAATGAGTGTACAATTCCTAGAGACTCATACATGTATAAATCTGTTGGGTATGAAAAACTGAACGTTGGGAGTTTGTGCCTGTTAGGAATATTTTCTTAAAGAGAGCTTTCTACTGATGCAAATAATCCCAATTAAGCCGAATCAGACTAGATTAAAAGATATCCAGGTTTAATTAGACACCCGCACTCCTGGGTGGCCCCAAAGGGACCAGGAAGTCATCAACATGACCACTGGAGAGGAAAAGGGAAAGCCATGTGTTTATATTGTGGGGAGCAGTTAAAAATAGCCTATAGGATGGTCTTGACCTTTCCTGGGGAGGGGTCAGGGTTTGATGGGCAACTTTGACCCTCCTTGGGGAGGGGTCAAGGTTCAAGGCACATAGGAGAGGGAGGCTGGAGGCTGGGATATATAGTGCCTACTTAAATTTGGAAGAAAAAGAAAAATAACTTAGTAACAAGAAGCTCTATTTGAGATTTATTGTTTTGTCTTCCTGGAAACTACAGGAAACAAACCGTTTTACTAGCTGGGGAAATCGAAAGCTATGAACACTGCTGGGAGGAGTCCTATTTCATCACAACTCTCCCCAGGGAAACAGCACGAGGTCAGACATCTAGCACTGCTCAAATTAAGAACTCACTTTATAACCAGTTTCCTGGTCTTCCTTGTTATTTTGTAGATACTACATTTTCTCAGCATTTAATGAGATTCCAACACCCTGCTGTGTACTTTTTTGAGAGATTTATCTTCCTACACAAAATAGACAAGCCCTATTTCCTGCTTTGCTGAGGATCTACAATCTGGACATTACTGAGAAACTTCTGGGAGGTAAGTTCTACCCTTGAATATAAGGAGTAACTCTGTGAAACCAACAAGAAGGCAGGAGATCACTGTGGGTTCTTCCAGTGCAGGGTGTGTGTGTGCGGGGGGAGGGGGGGGGAGCAGAGATGGCTCTAGCTGCATTAAGGGCAGGGAAACCGTACAGATGGGTTCTAATCCTTCCTTCAAGAAGATGGCAGACACATTTTTCCACCTCTGGGGCTTGAGGCAAGAAAAGATGCATTTTGGTTATTGTGGGTTGTAAAATAAACTTTCTAAGTTTGAATAAATAGAAAATGGTAAAACGGCTTTAGGTATTTTGACTGGAGAGAGAGTGGAAACTGGTGGCCGTGGCACATGACTGAGGAAAAAATATAAGGGAGTGATATGAAAAATTACCATGAAATAATATTGAGTGGAAAATGCATCTGCACATGGGGCTGTATTATCTAGTAATATCCTAATACTACACAGCACAAATGCCAGCAGATGTGTATAGTAAAAATTTTCTAAGATTAACAAACACAGTGGTTCAAATACATCCTGTTTTAATAGGCATATTTAACATTTTCTTCTTCTCCCCTTTATACAAGGTAGTAAAAACTATAATTAGTCACTGGGAGAAACATCCTGTCATCACGAAAGTTACTCTTTTTGCTTGGTTATATCTTATTCATATTTGTTTCTTGACCATACAATGTGGGGGATAAAGGAGAGTTAAATACAAATATACTTCTATTTCTACTTTTCAAATGTTTTACAAATTTTTGTCTCCTCTTGCATAGTACTTCATGTGTACTTAAACTTCATAATTTAAATGTTGATTAGAGAGCTATATCCATACTAGAATATATTGATAAGTTTATCAGTTATGTTGCTCAAACATTCTAGATACTAAAAGATGTTTTTGTCTTACTCATTTCGTAATTGATACACTGTTGTATTGACCACAAAACTATGGGTACTCCTTTTGATATTTTTCAAATTCACAGATGTGTGCTCTCACAAATATTGAACATATATGATGTAAATATGTGTGTGATATGTATACTTGTGTAAAAATATAATCCATGTTTTACAGAGCTGCGAATGAACAAAATCATAACAAATAGCATGAACAATTATCAATGATTAGTTACATCTATAATTAAAACTATTATAACATCTAGGATGAGAAGGTTTATCATATTTTGGTATTGATAAGAGTTTTTACCTTCAATACTACTAAAGCTCCACCAGTGTACATAAACATGATTTTATTTAGTTTCTAGTTAATTTTGGGTGTTTTTCACTGCTAAGGGATATTTTATTAACAACCTAGGGGTATATTTCTTAAATAACATTTCACAAAAGTTGTCGTTGGACTGGTTAGATCCTTTATTATGGGCTGGTAAACAACAGGTTTCTGTTCTGCTTCTGCTAAGGTCATTTCACTGTAGAATGTCTCTATCTTACATCAACAAGCTGTATGTCCTCTTTCATCTGCCCCTCAACCATGTTGAGGCACTTCCTCTTCCACTGTTTATTTAATCAGGTCTTCATTTTTGTATTTTTCATGAAGGAAGAACTGTATGCTTTTTTTTTCTTACTCAGTTTTTTAGTTCTTTGAGAGAGTCACACAGTGTAATTTGCTCATATTCAACCCCTTCCACATCTCCTTTCAAATACCTATGCCCTTCTCTACCAAAGCAACTTTGTAAGTCATCAACTACAGTCTGTGATCAACTAACCATGGGCTGTGCCTTTATTAAGAATGGTTCTCCCCCTTCCAGCAGCTATCTATTGCCCAAAGCTCATAAGCTGAGACTTTGTGTCCACCACTTCTCACTTCATGCTGGGGTTTCATCTGGCTTAAACTTCTGACACTATTACAACTGCTTTGAGCTCACATCTGTGTGCAGCTGTGTTTGCAAACACTCTGTCCCTGTAGTCATTCACCATCTCTGGGCTCCAAAATTTATTCTTTGCCATCTTTTCCAAGTTTTCCTGAGTATAGTGGTAATGAGGCACATAATTCCTAATTCCAAAAAAAAAAGAACCTTGGCATAGCAACAATAAGATATAGGCAAAACCAAAATTCTGTGCTGTAACTCCAAATTCTGTAGTTCAATGAGTTAGGAGGTTTCCGCACCACAAAACAGTGTCTCAAAATTTCAAAGCAGCAGAGACACCCTACTTTCTTTAACAGAATAGCACAGTTGGACAAGGTTATTTCAGATCTTTGGTCTGAATACAAGTTCAGAACTTTCCATTTTTGAACTTTCCATGTTGTCATTAAATAGGCCCACTACCTATTATCTTTATCCATAAATTAGGCAAAAACACTACAGATTTTTTAACTTGGTCGTCTAAGAAGGAATAGTTTCACTATAGATAAGAGAGCAGCAGCTAATGCCACATTCCTTTCTATTTATTGATAGCTAAATGTGCTTAAACAATCTGACTTAGGAACTAAAAATAAGGAAATGCTTTAATAAGTGCTTAAACCAAAAAGACCTACATCAGAGATCTTCCTCTATTTGGGAAACAGATTCAGTTCTTTGTGGCAATAGAACCTGCAGAATTCTCCTCCTGCTACCTTCACCTTTAGAGGAATAGAGGAAGTATCTGGGTGATTTACACTTTACTCTTAGAAAATACTTTTATTCAAAGAACTGTTTTTCTCAGTGACCCAAGGTAAGTCTGTTGGACCTGAAGGTTAAATGTTGGAACATCCACACATGAAGACATGAAAAAAAAAAAAACAGCCTAGCAGACCTTTGCTTTTCATTGTATATATGGAACCCTTCAATTTCAGTATCTAGGAACACCAAAAGCTAAGAGCAATGGGAGACGTCCTCACTTTTGCAGCCTTCCTTCCCCCAGGGAGAGCACAATGCAAAACACTCAGGGCTGCACAATTTGAAGTACAGTAAAACCAGTGTCATTCTCCCCATTTTTTGAACTACTTCCTGTTCTTGGCAGTTCGGAGATTGCAATATCCCTGTCCAGTACCGAAGAGATTTATTCATTTATCTTTTTACTGAAATGAAACTATCTCTGCTTCCTGCCTTGCAGCCAAACTAGGATCTGGACACTGCTGAAGAAATTTCCCAGAAGGTGAGTCATTCCCCTGCTATGTAGAGTTGAGAACTCTGTGAACCCACAAGGGTAAGGATTGGGGTAGGGTGGGGGCAACAGTGCCGATTCCTTCAGAGGAGATTGGAGGGAGCAGGGATGCTGGGAGATGCTTTAGTGGCTCTGAATGCAGAACAGCTAGGTTCTGATGCTTCACTAGGGAAGATGGCAGACATATTTATTCTACACTTACCCCAACAAAAATGTATTTTGATTAGGACAGATGGTAAAATGAATTTTTTTTTTTTTTTTTTTTTTTTTTTTGGTTTTTCGAGACAGGGTTTCTCTGTGGCTTTGGAGCCTGTCCTGGAACTAGCTCTGTAGACCAGGCTGGTCTCGAACTCACAGAGATCCGCCTGCCTCTGCCTCCTGAATGCTGGGATTAAAGGCGTGCGCCACCATCGCCCGGCGGTAAAATGACTTTTAAGTCTAAGAAAATGAAAAATAAAAAAGAAGGCCTTAATGATCTTGGTTGGAGAGTGAGAAGGAATTTGCTAGCTGTGGTGATCATGTGGGTAAAAGATAGAACAGAGACATGAAAGAAGTACCGTGAAATAGTATTTAGTGAAAACTACATCTGGATCTGTGGCTGCATTCTGTTGTCCTCTGATATCGCATGACACATAAAACAATTGAAATGTATAGTAAAATGATCTTCAGATTCACATGATCATTTAAGTACAAGTGTTCTTAATCGTCCACAGTCACAACATAGTTACCATTTCTTTAGATCAGTGGTATTTCACTCGAGATAGTTTCTGTCATCTTGAAAGTTTTTTGTTTTCTTGGCTTTTAGCTTGTTTTAGTTTTTTTTTTTTATGTTCTGATAGAAAATGTAGGGAGCTGATGATGAGCTGATGAGAGAGTTATTTAGAACTATATCTCTGTAGATTATGTTTAGAATATTTTATATACATTCCATGTACCCTTTAAAGCCCATAATGTGTTCTTGAACAGAATATTTTAGAAGTTGACTTCAGATGTGTATATCTGTAAGCTTATTTCTCTTGGTATATCATTTGGGATTCTCAAGCATACTAAATTTTTGCACATGTTCTTACCTTGTTCATTTAGTAATTGAGATATCTACTGCTGTACCTATCAGAATATTGTGAATTTTCTCAAGTTCACAGATGAGTATGCTATTTACAAATACATAAAGAGGATATTTGTGCTTCTGTGCACTTTTAAAACAAAACATACTCCATATTGCTACTTATTATGGTCCTATGAAGACACACAAAATACTAAGAAATACCATACACTATTATTGGTATATAAATCCATAGTTTAAACTATTAACTCTTTCTAAGGAGAGGTTCTGGTTGTTTTGCCATCTTGACAAAATTATCGAAAATGAGCTACCTGAGTTGAGAAAATTCTCCTTTCAAAATTACCTGGGCATATTTTTCATTATTGTTTGATGTGACTTTGCATATTTTAGAGAGGCTTTGAAATTTGGAAGAAATGTTAGGTGTTTTAAAGAGACTGAACATTTAAAGTGCTTAGATTTTTAGCAGTGAGGCTGAACACATATTAATATCCAGGATTTGATGGACACAGATTGACATTGATTCACATATAAGATTTTGTATAATACTAGAAATTACATTGAGGTTAGGATGATTAGCTCAAATTTATAATCAATAACATTCTAATGAGAAAATAAAAGTTATGTTCTCGTATAAATGGGACCCACAAAAATTACACATAAACTCAGTCATCACATATCTGGTTGTATTTGAAATAGTTGTGTTTTCACAAGTACCAACCTAAATGCAAAGTTTCTCTTTTAATTATCTCTGGATGTGGAGATCAGTGTTGTATGATGTACTATTAAAAGTCAGTTTTAGTCTACTCCTTGAATATGTAGACTATCTATTTTTTAAAATGTTTCATGGCTTACAGAGTATGTCTTTTTCTTAATACTCTTTATCTTCCCTGTCAATTGTGCCTGTGTGTGATTTCATTCATCCTTGGGTTTCTTTGAGCATGTTCAATTTTTGTTCAACATGTTGAAGATGTTCAATTTTTTCAAAAAAAAAAAAGAAAGAAGAAACAGTTAACAGGCCTAGAAATTAATGTCCTATTACATTAAGATCATTATAGGCATGATTCACAAACTGAAACAACATAAATTTGAGTTAGAAAATTGCATTCATTCCATTCTCTGAAGATCATCAAGGAAGTATATAAATATGAAAGAGCTACAAAGCAAGACACTCACTCCATTGGGGAATTTTGGAAATTTCCAGAAAGCAAATTCTTAGTTGATTCTAATTTTTAAATTTTTGTTATTTAAATTTTGTTATTTTCTTACACATTTCTGGTATAGGAGGTCTTTCTGTTTATGTGTTGATTTCATTGGTTAAATAAAGAAATTGCATTGGCCTTTTGATAGGGCAGCAACTTAGGTAGGCAGGGAGACAGAACTGAATGCTGGGAGAAAGAAGGGTAGAAGGCAGATGCCATGGATCTCCTGCCTGGGACAGACTCCAGTTAGAATCTTTCCCAGTAAGCCACAACCTCATGGTGATACACAGATTGGCGGAAATGGGTTAGATCAGGATGTGAGAGTTGGCCAAGAGGCTAGATATAATGGGCCAGGCAGTAATTAAATTAATACAATTTCTGTGTGGTTATTTTGGGGGTTAAGCTAACCAGGCGGCGGGGCACAGCCTGCTGCTCCTTCTACTATACATTTTCCTGATGAGGGTTAAAAGACATACGAATATCATAGTAAGTTTAATTCTACTCCTACTTAGAAGCATACATTAGGAGGTTTGCAAATAGGAACTATGAGTAGTCCATTCACAGATTCTCAGTTTTATTAGTGGTGCCAAGTATGGGTTTCAACTCATAAAGGTCTTAAGTCAAATCACAAAATAGATGATTAATCCCGTAATATTCATGCTACTATTGTACCAGTGAGCATGTCTTGCCAGACTGGCTATTATTATAAATACAAGGGATCACCACTGAGGAAGATAAATGGTTATTTTGCTGCTCTACTATTGTGCATAGTACCTTCCAGAATTAGAAATCTATCAAGTAGAGATGAGGCTTCCAGGTGAGTATCAATCTCATTTCTCTATGGTTGGTGACTCAAACTTATGTCATCTGCAATAGAGTCTTACCATCTGGGGTGAAATCAAGAGCACTGGCAATAGGCTATATGTTGGAGGTCTATGAGAACTGACTGGCCAATAACTTCAAAAGAAGAAATCCGCCGGGCGGTGGTGGCGCACTTGGGAGGTAGAGGCAGGCGGATCTCTGTGAGTTCGAGACCAGCCTGGTTTACAAGAGCTAGTTTCAGGACAGGCTCCAAAACCACAGAGAAACCCTGTCTCGAAAAACCAAAAAAAAAAAAAAAAAAAAAAAGAGGAAATCCATTCCTACTACTGGGCTTTTGTTTAGCTTAGGGCACTTTGTAGAAGCATTGTTAAACCACTATAGAATAATTTCATGTAAATTCTTTATAGGTAGATGATATGTAACTACATGATAGATAGATAGATAGATAGATAGATAGATAGATAGATAGATAGATAGATGATAGAAATGATAAAGTTATGTGTAGTATGCATTTTAGGAAGCTTATTCAGTAGTAGATTTCTATTTCAGTTTTTTGAAATGAAATTATTGTCAGCTACTCTTCTTTCTTTTCCTTTCACTAGCATAGCCTTCCACCAAACATCTCATTTAACTCTTAGGTTTTCAAAATTTATGAAAAGTAGACAGAGAAAGAAATGTGAGAATGGCTTTCTAAACAATGAAGAAGAAATTAGTCATATCATAAAACTTGACAATAGTATATTTTGTAAATTTGAAGCATATGATATCAGAAATTAAAATAAGCAAATCAAAAAGGGCTTATTATTTAAGGACTTATGATATATCTTATAAAGAAGAAATATTTTTAATAAATCAGGAAACTATTAAAGGATTTGGCGTAGATTTAAGCATGACTTGTAGTTAGAAATTTTGTCTATGAGTAAGAATCACTAAGTCAAGCCTGAAAGATAAAAATAAGAGATTATTGACATAATTCCACTCACTAAATTCTAGGACACTACTATGAAAATTATGTAGATGTTTGGGAAATTAACAGTAATATCAGCATGAAGGTACCAAAGAGCACAATCCCAGCCCAGATAGGACAAGATGCTAGTGAGGGCTGTTTGCGAGAACGCCTAGCAGACAAGGCTCAGAGACTCAGAACAGGCCATGCTACTTAAGTCATTGTTCATCCAGGTATATTGTAGAAAGATGCAGTCCATTTTTATATAGGCCACTTTAGAATGGGAAAAATCAGAACCCAAAGGCAGATATCCAGCAAAGGGCTTCACCACCAAATGGGAATGGGAAACGGACCCAGGATTTTAGCACTTGCAGCCCAGACTCTAAGCACTGCAGCAAATACACATCTATCACTTTTCTTCCCCTACAACTGCCACTGTCCCAAGTCACCTAACATGGCTAATGGGGAAGAATTTCCTAGACTTGTTTGTTAATTCTGAAGTTCTACGTCAATTTCACACAGTGGCATGCTTATCTCTCTCATGAAATTATGGAGAATATTATCAAGTGGGGTCATGGGATCATACACTCACACGGGAATATCCTGTTTGGAGAATTGTCTGTGTATGTGTGTAATGCTGTATCTATTTTCATCTTTTAGGCTTCTCCATCATTTTAGAGATAATGAATGACTATAAGAAAATTGTTCTTCTAAAAGGATTAGAGGGTATGGATAATTACCATTTTAGGATAATTAAGTCCTTACTAAAAAGAGACCTACACCTGTCTGAAAATATGCAAAATGATTATGACAGAATTAAGATTGCTGACAAGATGGAGGAGACATTCCCAAAAGATGCTGGACTCAACAAACTGATAGAAATTTGTCAAGAAATTAAAGATCTTAAAGATATTGTTGAAAATCTTAAAGAAGAGAAGGCAAAAGGTAACAGAGGAATACCCTGGTCATTCATCTTTTCTCCACCCTCCCCAAACTTTCTATCTCCCTGTAGTAAACAGAGCTGATAGGTTGCTTTCCCACTGTGTTTCTTACAAGCTATAGGGGTTGAAGCAATTCAGATGTCAACAAGTTTATTTCAAAAAATCATTTCCTATAAAGGAACTTGATGTATTTCAGGGTAGACATCATTTGCATTGGAGGTTAAAAAAATAAAAATCTGTTGTTGAGATAGATCAGAACATCCAAAATGGTAGAAAAACTAGGAACTAAAAAAGTGAGAGTTGAAAAAAATCATTTAAAGCATATAGAGTAATAGAGTATTTATATATAAATAACAATGTTACACATTTGTTAATATCTTTTCTGGTAACAAATACAATACAATATTTAAGTAGCGATCTATATCATAGACATATGAAGAAGAAGTTTCTATTCATAAAGTGACTGAATTTAATACATATTAGTTATACTGGTGCAGAACTCTGACCCAGAATTCAACATAAGGAAGCCCTGATAGCGCAGTATCTCATTTTACAAGTCTGTGCCAGATTTCCTTTCATTGGTTTCTATGATTTGGGTGTGTTATACCCGAACATGACAAGTCAGTATGATAAAAACTGGATTTTTTTATTTTTCCATTCAAAAATTTACACTTCCTCCCAACCTCCTATTCCCCTCCTGCTCCCCCACTCACCCTCCTCCTTCCCCTAAAAACTGGATTTTTAAGAGAACAGTAAGAAAATAGAAGCGAGAAAAGCTTGGCTGATATATATGGGTTTAAAACAGGAATTTTCTCATTTCATAGGGAACAAGTAAGGAAAATATCAAGTAATGTAAGATGGTGACTAAGGCTATGTCTCTACAGTAAGCTAGTGAAATAAACATTGATACAAATGCAATGGAGAAGAAATAGCAGGAGAACTAGATGTTTCCTTGATCCTCTGTTTTGATTTATGGGGGCTATTTTTTTTTCATTCGTTTGTTGTGATGAAAATTATACCCATCCCAGTAAAAGGAAAAAAACCCATGGGCAAAAAGAGGCAAAAAGCAGATTCAGCTGTACCTACATCAACTACAAGCAACACCTTAGCATCTGATGGAGGGGAGACATCCACAGCTCAGGTGAGCCTGGGGAACAACAGTGGGCTGGCAGCGTACAAAGGTAGTGCCTCTTGCCCCTACTCTGTCCATCAAGTACTTACTGCTTTACTAGTTTATCTTCAAGCTTTATCAAAACTTACGATAAGTGAGCATGTGGCATTAATATGTGTTCACTCCTACTAGAGATGCTGTAAACGTGAAAATCAGGTAGAACAATGTCTGTTCCATGTGTACTCAAAACCTAGTTTTCACATTCAAAATCAGTTTTGTCCTACCATACAATTAAAGATAGAAAAATGTATATATAACATTCTTCTACCTTTATTTAATCAAGCCTGTCATCCACACATTTTGTCATATTTATGATCATATTTTGCCTGTCCAGAGGGTGAGTATTACACCTTCAAGTCCCCAAAACATTCAGGCATAATTAAATTAGTAGTAGATTGAGTAACTAGATTAGTAGATTTCTACTTCCTAATAATGAAGACATACTCTGCTCACTTGATACTGAGATTCATTAACAGGCCAATGGATACACTTTCAGAAAAGAAAAAGTATGAATGAAGAGAAGCTTGAAGTGAAAAAGACCAAAAAGTCTAAGGGGTCAGATTGCCCTGACTCTCCTGGAGAAGCCACAGTCAGATGCCAGACCCCAGGACCCCAGATCTCATCTGCGACTTCGTCAAACCCTTCTTTGGCTAAGGTACAAGGTTTCTGCCTCCCTTTCATTTCTTCAATCCAAATATCAGAATCAGATCTTCAAGTTTCTGATCATTTCCCCCCTTATCACTAAGATTTAATTAATCGGACACATATAGAGGTTGGATATGATAGATGCAGATTTCATCCAAACTCAGAAACAACACATAAGTAAAGGTGATACAAATAGAATTTTCTGTACCATAATATTTTGTTGTCCTGGGGACACTTAATGAAACTGGGGGCAATGAGGAGTTTCCATGACTTGTCTTCATCCCAGGCAAGAAGAGAGAGGTGAAAATTCCAGGACATACAATGGTCACTAGCAATGGACTGCATATCTTCTCTCTCACACTGTCCCATATCTCTTCATTTTAAATGACTGACTTGTAATAAATTCTCTTTAACACGAATCAAGGGTACCTCTTTCTTCTGAATTTTTGGCTTTCTATATATTCATTCCAGCTCAAAATCCTGTAAGTGTCCAAAGACACCCATGCTCTGAATTTTAATGTTGGTATCTTGCTCTGTCCTTAATATTTCTTTCCAGAATCCCTAGCCACACTAAGTTAAAAACTGATAGTGTTAACCTGAATAAAATATTTTTGCTTTTTTTGCCTTATTACCAGTTATGGCACATAACTAATACTTATTTTCCAACTTTACTGTGCATTGTAAGATTATGGCTGCCCTATTTTTCTACAGATACTTTCAGATCTGAGATTTTCAGAAACTTAGAAGTAAAAAGCTGCGGCACACGATGGCTGTCTGTGCTCTATGCGCCCGTCGCCATACAGTTTGCGAGCCGGGCAAGGGACTGGAGATTGAAACACACAAAGAATCACAGACAGAGAGACACAGGTCATCCTTGATGCAGGAATGCCCCAAGAATGCCCCCTTTATTGTGTGCAGGGTCAGCTCATATAGAGACAGCCGTGCCCGAGCCAAACGCACCAAAAACCATTCCCCTGCCATCAGGAACTCCTGAGGGTCTCATGCTCAGAGCAGCTGTAGGCACTCAGATCAGGGGAAAACAAGTTGTTTACCAGAAATTCAGAATCGGAAGTTCACTGTTCCCAGCACAGCCAAGAAGCGTAAATGAGAGCTGTGCAGTCCAGTTAAGGCTCTAATAGGTGTCTGGTGAGATTTAGAGGTCACAGAACAATGTAATTATATAGGTGAACTTAGGTAATCAACCAGTTTTTGCTTGGATCTAAGTGCATTCTATGAGATGGAATCCATATCTGAAACAGCTATAGCAACCAAGAATCTTAGTCTAGATAGATTATAGATCTGGGAAAAAAAAAACCTACTACTCTTATTCTGCTTAAGGAACATAGCAATAACACGACTCATAATGACAAGCTGTTATCTCTATAGATCAGTGCTTCATTCAGGTCTCATTAGAGAAGCTTCTTCTTTCCGTAGAAGATAATTTATCACAGAGGCCCACAATGGCCAAAGTGCAGACAGTGAGAGACTTCACAGTATCCATCCCTCAACAGAGTGTCTGCATCAAATCCCTCTCCTCAAGATTCAGAGATCTATGTTGAAGAAGAGGAGGAACAATTGTAAGAGCAAGAGATGGTACACGACTTCGAGAAAACAGTCTCTTTTGGACAAACATGACCGATGTACAAATGGGCTCTGAGACAGTGGTGGCACACATTAAAAAAAAAAAAAAACACAGGTTCAAGCTACCTGGAATCCCAGAACAGAGAGGAAAAAATAGACACAAAGCCCCACCCCCATAAGAAGCTATTTTTAGTCGATACCCACTACCAAAAGGATAATCAGTTTTCTCCAATGGAGACTATCAACCATAGTCTAGATTAGGTCCCACAGCTGGGAGTGTTTGGCCAACAAAAAAAAGAATTCCATATTTATGTATAGGGTTTTTTTTGTTTTATTTGGAATTTTTCAGTTTTGTTTGCTTTTATTTTTTTGAGAGTGAGAGAAAGAACACTAATGATTTCGGAGGGTGGAGGATCTGAGAGGAGCTGAAGGAGTGAAATCATGATAAATATATATTGTATAAAAAATTTTAAATAAAAACAATAGAAAAATAAAAATTTGGGGAGAAAAACATAGAGTGGGGATAATTAAAGAATATTTGGAAATTTGGGACGCTCCCTTTCCTCTCTCTATCTCTCCTTCCGTATGCCCCTCCTTTTTTTCTCACTTGAAGAAATATATTCAGCTGGTTAAGCAAAAACAAAGCAATTTTTACTCACCCCAAACCTTGCCATTTAGATAATTTAAAGGATTTTCTTAGTATTTTTCAGATATTTTTTAATTATGTAGAAAATTTATTAGTCTAGCATCTTACAATAGTTATTACTTTATTACTTGTTTTTTTTTTCAATTCAACATAACAGGATTATCTCTCCAAGTTCTTAAATTAACATGCATATAATTCAATGGCTAGATCAGTATTTGTGCTTCTTTTTTAAATAGTTAATTACAGACTTATTATCTACTACCACAACTTCAGCTCCACTTTTAATCTATACACTGGAAATTGTGTGCATTGCGAATTATTTGGTGGTTTTTATAACAGCCCACTAATTTATTTTATACATATCCTAAAACTTTCTTGTTTATTTTAATCTAGTCATTGCTTCTTGCTTACTTATATACACATCACTACCACTAACTATATTGCTCTTTATTTTTATGTTATACCAATTGGTTATACTGATGGAAAAATCAGATCCAAGTAAACACTAATCACTAATAGGTAATAACTGTGTGTGATATGATGCTTGGATTATTTGCATTTCCTTGGGTCTGTAAAGGCAACTCTAGCTCCTTATATGCAGAGGTCCAAGCTTATAGCTTTTCATTGCTTTGCATATTCTGTCTTACAGTTAGGCAATCTTCTCTTCATTGAAATACTCTGTATTAGTCTGTGATCTCAGAACACTGTGCAGATAAGAGATTTGATGCCTATCAATTTCCCTGTATTACAAACCCCTGATATTGAGAAAAAAAACTCTAAACATTAAGGACATGACTCTAACCAAAGTACCTCTACCTGAACCTATTTAAAAGAGGTGGCTGTGAGCCAGCTCACGTTGTTTTTGATTATTAAATAAGAGTCAGTAGCTACCTTCAAAGGAGACATACTTTGATTTATACCCACATAATAACCTAAGAAACTTCAATTGTATGTTTTATATTTACTATTCTCTAATCCAACAATATTTAATTTCCCCATTTTATATTCTTCTGTCATAAGAGAAAAGGATATATTTGAATTAATGATAATTTCACTTAAGTACTTCAGACAATTGCTCTCAACAGCTTGTGCTGTGTTCATGCTGAACATCTTGTCCATGTTACAAAGATTCCTCTGCTTTTCAGGGAAGCTTGTTGCTTTAACTCATTAGTCTTTTGTCTAATGAAAGAATTTCTTTTTACCTTATCTATAGTCCTTATCTTAGGACCAATATGGAGTTTGAGATTTAGTTTATATGAAGGTTAATTTTTATTTGTTGCTAAACTTACAAGTTTATATCCCTGTGTTTCTTTAACTCAGAACCAAAAGACACAGACCCCAAGCCAGAGTGCTACCAGAGGAGCTGTTGGCCAAAATGATGCCATGACCGTGATGGTGCTCAATGCATCAGAGCCATTTGAATATGAGTCAAGAGAACCTGGAGGAAATATGATGTTTCATGCTACAGTGGCCAGTATGAACGAGTATTTCCATGTGAAAGTTTTCAACATCAACCTGAAAGAGAAATTCACAAAAGGGAATGTCATCATAATCTCCAATTATGTCAAGTTCAGAGGAATCATAGAGATAAAGGCAGACTCCTTTATCTCTGAACCCAACGAAAAGATTGAAGTTCCCAAGAAGCTAATCAGTAAAGCAAATGAAACTCCCATGATTTCTGATATTCGCAAGAGTGTAGGTGGAGCACTGTTTTATGGGTTGTTTACATTACACAAGGTAATATTTAAAAACTTATTTTTGTTTTTTTTTAAACTGGAATCAAATATGATAACTTTCCAGTCACAGCTTAGTGACAATATTTGTAGCACAGTATTCTAGATTAGGGACAGAAGATGAAATCATCCCAATATTAGAGAATAAGAGTGGGTGCCCTTTTCCTACCCCCTAAGATGTCTCTGAAAGAGCTCCAGAAAATGACCTACCAAGGAATTTATTTTGCTAGTTAAAAATTAATAAGAAGGAATGGTGCAGGCCACAGGTCAGGGTCATGCCAACAATCTCAATTTTTTTAGATATACTGTAACTATACAACGCTTGTTATTTTCTATGCATTCTGTTTCTACAGATTCTTTGAAAAGGGGTGAATATTGATTGTGACATGTATTTGAAATAATAAATGGATGAGTGACATCCTCACAAATCCAAAACCATTCAATAGAATAAATTTACTCTCTCTGAAGCTAGACGGTTTAATCATTTAATGTTGACTCATACCTTATTCAGTTACCTAATTACTTCTGAAGACCTTAGCAACAAAGAACGATTGTATGAAATTACCTTTAGGGAGTAAGTAAATTTAGTTTTTTCCTTCACAAATGAAAATATATACAGATATCTTATTGATGCATTAATCCCCAAATTCTGAGTATTAAGATTCAGTTATTTTTAAAGATTTATTTATTATGTATACAGCATTCTGCTTGCATATATGCCTGCACACCAGAAGAGGGCACCAGATCTCATCATAGATGGTTGTGAGCCACCATGTGGTTGCTGGGAATTGAACTCAGGACCTCTGGAAGAGCAGCCAGTTCTCTTAACCTCTGAGCCATCTCTCCAGCCCCAAGATTCAGTTTTTTAAAAAATGACAACCTCGGTGTACTAAAACATTTTATAAACTTGACAATTTAAGACTCTTTAGTTCATCTTCTGTTAAAAGCTTCTTTATTTTAAAGCCGTTACTTTATAGCACACTTCTTAGTGACAATGCTTATGAACACAATACAGTGAATTATGAAAGCCAATATAGTATGATTTGGGGACCTTGACTTTCTTGGGCATGATACTGGAAAAAGCTAAGTAAATGAATAGAGTCCAAATGAGTGAACTACTGGAATCTTACCTGTTCTGGAAATTCCCTATAATCCATTGAATGAATGAATAGTAGAAGAAAATGCCCGTTCATCCTTTTATAAGAGGATACAGAGATGAGAGCCCGAAGTTTTGATTTCTGAGATTGATCAAGTTGATTTTTGGAGAATCCAGACTGTTGAGGAATAGAGAGTAGTAGGAAGCAGGAAGAACATTTATAATCGTAACACTTCCAGGCAGAAATCCTCTAGATAAAGAAAGCAAATCATTTCAGTAATAAAAGAGAATTCTTTGGGAAAACATCACTGAAGATGCTTATATGCTTATATCTGAAACAGGTTTCATATTTTCCTGTGATTTTTGAAATGGAAAAAAAATACTTTTTACGTGTATAACAAAATGAGAAAACTTTCAGAAAAAAATGTTAATTTTACTTTTGCAGAAAAAGGTGAACCCAATGAGCACAATCTATGAAATAAAGGACAATACAGGAAATATAGAAGTTGTAGGGAAGGGGAAATGCTATAACATCAGCTGTGAGGAAGGAGACAAACTGCGACTCTTCTGCTTTCAACTGAAAACAATTGACAAGCAACAGAAGCTGGTGTCTGGCGATCACAGTTTCATTAAGGTATGAAGTAGACAGGGAACAGATTTACCAAAGCTGAAATTCATGTTTTCTTTAGTCCAAATATGAACTTTTCAGTGTGGAGCACAGATAATTCTGTCTCTGGAAGGGAGAATTGAAATAATGCCCTCATACTCATTTCTATGGGGAAAATTTTCAAGAATTTATATTGAAGCAATAATCCAAAGACTATATTATACAAGATGTATGAGGAAGTTAAAATGCCATGCAAATACATTTGAATAGTGATCAAGAGCAAGAGTTTTGAATAAGTCAGATGTGATTTGAATGGCAGCTTCAACAATTAGGATGTGGCTGGTTCTGGGGAAAGTTTAACTCTTAATCTGTACTTTAAGGGAAGAAATGCCTATATATTTGTGAGTTCACACAGTGTTTAGCACATTTTAAGAAGTGAGTAGATACTATTTTCTTAATTGGGTAAATACACTAGAGAGAGAGAGGTCTAGGAAATAGAAAGGTTATGAAAATATACCAAAGAGTGAATCATCAGTATTAATTCCACTACACATGGAAATATTCAGCTTACTTAGATAAAGTCATGTTTAGAAGGAGGAGCCTTCTCTTCAAGGACCATATAGTTGGAAAGAGGTGGCTCAAAATAAGCCAACATGATGAAGAAGATGAAGCAGAGATCAACAGCCTTTGAGAAGGCAGAAAGGCCATTGAGTGCAATAGACAAGGATGGTTGACTGGAGAAATATAAACAATGCTTCAGTTCAAGAGTTAGAATCTAATAGTATCTCTCATTGTCTCTTTCAAGGTCACCAAGCCTGGAAAAAAGAAAATATCTGCTCTCTTTCCTAACCCAAAAGATGGAGAAGCAAGTGGCTACCCTCAAAATGAATTCAGTGCTTTTAACCGTGGAGCTTTTAAAATAGAGACACCAAGCGACTGGAAATAAGCGACAGCTTCAGTCGTAAATCCAAGCATTTAAACATTTTGTTACTTGGTTTGTGATTATGTATTTTCATTTGTAAAACTCCTTACTCTGTTTTTTTATGAAAATAACACTTGAATTTAATTTTTCTACTGTAGAAGTAATAAAAATTTCTTTTGAAAAGGATACCATCATTCAGTCAAAGTAGCCAACTACAATATGGGGAAAGATTTTTACTGACTGCACTTCTGAGAGAGGGCTAATATCCAAAATATATAAAGTACTCAAAAATCTAGATAATCCAGAAAACAACCCAATTTAAAATTGGACTAAAGATCTAAGCAGAGAATTCTCGAAAGAGAAAGCTTAAATAGCTGAGAAACACTTAAATGTTCAGCATCCTTAGTCTTCAGGGAATGCAAATCAAAACTATTTTGAGAATTCATCATTTTTTCTTAATTTGTATTTCTTTATAAATAATACCATTCAAAATTTCCACTTCCTCCCCTCATCCCATTTCCTATACTCATCCATCCACTTTTGTTCCTACACTCTGCTAGCCTCTAAGAAGCATGTAGGCACTTGTGCTCACAGACAAGCACAGGGAATCTGGGAATGTCAAACCTGCAGTGTTGTCTCTTCTAAGGAAGAGATGTGTAACTTGTTTTCTGCCCAGAAGCCTAGGAACGGATATGGTTAATAGCCTGGCAACACAGTGCACCCAGATTCTTACGTTTATTTATAGCACTACTAATCCTCCCTGAAATTTTTATGATGAGCATTGTCTACCTCAAGCCTGCTTCCTTAGTAAATCTACAGAACCTATCTTTATGGAAAATGTCACTTGAACTTGATCAGAGATTCAATACAGTCATGTCTTAAGCTTTTGTTGTGCATACACAATTAAGTTAATTATCACTAGGAAATTTTCTCCCAATTGTGCTCTGCTTAATATGCTTGAAACAAACTACCTGATGTCAGGCCCTAAATTTGAAACAACACAGGTTACTGAGTCTTATTGAACCCAACCTACTTCTTGCCTCTCCTGGATCAACACTCTACTGACCATGGTGTTTGCAGCAATCCCTCATACCAGCCTGATCTTCTACAATGACCCCTGTCATGTGGGAAGATGGTCTGCGTTACAGATGTTCTATTGAGGGCTGAGCATTGCATTGCACACTCTCTTCTTCTCTCTACCTTGCCCAGTTGTTGTTCATGTTAATTGCTGGAGTCATGATAAGTCATTAGTAGTCACTTTACTACTATGTCACTTTGGCAGGGTAATAAAGTCAGATCTCTTCTCTGGTGTGTGACCCATGTAGCCCAGATTCTTGTACCTGATATCAGTACTATGTGTGGATTTTATCTTGTGGCAAGAGCTTTAAATCCAAGAAGAAAGCATTGGTCACTTCAGAGATATTCATGCCACTATTGTACTTCTGAGAATACATTGCAAAGCTTGTCATGACTGATGCTTTCAGGGTTTATAACTAAATAATACTGATGTTTACTCTTCTCCTCTCATGGCATACATACATATCAGTTTCTATCACTGTGAAAGCTAACAAGAAAAGAGGAAGCTTCCATGTGAATACCAACTTGATTAATCTCTGTTTGATGACCCATTCATGCCATGTCTTAGCAAGAAGGAATTAAAAAAATCATTAAAAAAAAAACTGACCAACAAACCATATAATCCTAAACATATACTCACAGAACAGAGAGACACTCAGTCTAATAAAATAAATACTAGTAGTTTTGTAACAAATTTTCAAAGCCATTGCAGGGAAACAATATTTTATTAAAATAAAATATAACTTATATAAATGAGAAAATATGTGAAGTTTTGAATTCTATTAATAATATGAATAGGATGACCTTTTTCTTTTCTTAAAAAAAAGATTTATTTATTTATTTATTTATTTATTTATGTATTTATTATGCATACAATGCTCTGTTAAGATGTACACTTTAGAAAAGGGCACCAGATATCATTATTAATGGTTGTGAGCCACCATGTGGTTGCTGGGAATTGAACTCAAGACCTTTGGAAGAACAGCCAGTGCTCTTAACTTCTGAGCCATCTCTCCAGCCCAGGATGACTTTTCTCACAAAAAAAAAAAAAAATCAATGCCATACAAAACCTTAGAGATGACAGTGAAGTCCCCAGTGTGTTGCAAGCTGTGACGGGTGAAAAGCTGTGATGGGATGGGGAGGAAGCCCCTGGGACCTTCAATTCCTAACACTCTACTCGCTGTGATCCTGAAACTTGTCCAAAAATAATGGAAAAATAAAAATTTCTAAGAGGAAGCTCTAACACTTTTTTAGGGGAATTATTGTATGAGTCACAAGCTGATATAAAGAGCTCAGAGCAAATATTCCTAAAGAAAATTGGAAGATTACAAAGGAAGTGCCAATTGTACAAGTTATTAAGACTAGTATAAATAAATAACTACTATGAATATGAAGGAATCAGGTTAGCAGAGCAGAGAAAATCAACAGGTATGTAGTAAAGAATTTGAACATTATCATCACAAGGAAAGAATTGCTAACTGAGAAAGAGTAGGAGTGATTACTCAGACTGAAAACAAGCTGAATCATGTTCATTCTTACCACGTGTTCTTTTTCGTTTGTCTGTTTTTTTGAAATAGGGTCTCACTGTGTAACTCTGTCTGCCCTAAAACTCACAGAGATCCTTCTGTCTTTACCACCGGAATAGCTGCATGGATACAGATAGATAGTACCGGATCTTTGTCTTACATCAGACCAAAATGCATCTTAAGAGAAATTATTAAAGTTAGATAGGTATTTTAGTTTTTTTTTCCACTTTATACTTTTAAATACTGCTGTGGTCTGCAGGAATCATGCAGTGAGATTGCAGCTGATGAGGCAGAAGGCTGACCCACTAGAAAGAACACATTCTGATGGAGATAAACCTAGTTTGCAAGGCAAGGTGCTGGTCCCACCACCTTTTGCATATCCATTTATTCTCACAGTGGATGTCCTGTGAAGCCATAAGCACTCTCCTTTGGCACAAGTTTCAGCAGAGTATGGACAAGTGGGCACAACTCTTTCTCATGACTGGTATATTGGGTCATCCCCCTTCACACATTCTGTGGGATTTCCAGTGGGAAATGTAGTCACACAGTGAATAACCTTGGTTACCACAGTCGAATCTCTGCTTCGTTCCCTGAGATACCTTAGAAGCCTGTTCCCTGCAACTATCTTCCATTTGGCAGGACATACAGTCAGGAAAGGAGTCTTTTGGATAGATCACATTTGGAACCTTCAAACGTAAAGGAACGTCCAGACTCAGAGAGACCATTCTTGTTGCAATCACACGAGGTTTATTGACAGGACAGGAGCCAGTGCACTGGGGCTGAAACTCATTTCCCACGCAGGGGTAGAGTTCGACACCCCTGAGAAGGGGTATTTAAGGGAAGAAACCATAACCCAATAACCCAAAGGGAGTAGGAAGGGCATCATTGGAAAATTCCAAAAATACCAGTCATCATTAGAAAATTCCAAAAATACCGGTGATAATCACAAGAGGGTAACTCCCTGTTTCTCAAGATTATTCTCAAGATTATAATCTAAATTTATGGTCAGCTAGTTACTGGAAAGGTGTCACTGAACCAGCTAACCTAGAGTTTTGGTTCTTCTCTCGCAGCTAGATATTTTTTTTGGACCTACTCTTTCTGCTAGGGGCGGGGGGTCTGAATTTATCTGTGTCTTTCAGCAGGTGGGCAGGTGTGGAGGCCCAAAATTATGGGCCTATTTTCAAGTTGATCAAATGTCAAAGTTGGAACTTACTTCTAGTTCCTTCAAGGTCATGAGAGGGAGACAGAAAAGAAAGAGAGTCAGGCTGTAAGCAGGAAGGAAAATCTGCCTGCCTCATCATCGGGAAGGGGGAGTGGGCGTGACTTGTCTCTTAAAAAAACAGAACAGATCAGTACAGTATGGAGTTTTGAAAACTCAATTCCCTCTGCCAATTAAATACTTTCTTCTACAAGACCATATCTACTCCAGCAAGACCGCACCCTTTTTCACTAACTGGAGACTGGGCATTCAATGGGTCTATGGGGGACATTCTTATTCAACCATCACAGACATATTGAACAAAGACATTTTGCCCATTCTATAGACTGTCTCCTCACTGTAATGGTTGTGTCTTTGCTATACACAGGATGTTTGATTTGTTTGTTTTTTTGAGCCAGGGTTTCTCTGTGTAAAAGTCCTAGCTGTCCTGGAACTCACTTTTTAGTACATGTCGGCCTTGAGCTCACTGAGATTCACCTGCCTCTACCTCTCAAGTGCTGCAATTAAAAGTATGCATCACCACCACCCAGCCAGAAGCTTTTAAATTTTGTGACGTTTTATTTATCAGTTGTTGTTCTTAGTATTTATAAAATAAGAGTCCTGTTCATAAAATACTTTCTTGTGACAATGAGTCCAAGTATATTTTCTATATTCTCCTTAACAAGATTTGGGTTACAGGATCATATGTTGAATTCCTTGATCCATTTGGGGTTGATTTTTGTGCAAGGTGAGAGATAATGACATAGTTTCAATTTTCTATGTGTAGTTATCTAACCAGCACATTTTGTTGAAGATGCTGTCTTTTCCCCAATTTTTATTGTTGGTCTCTTTATCAAAAATTAAGTGTATGTAGGAATGTGAGCCTTTGTGTAGGTTCTTAATTTTATTCTATTGAACAATGTGTCTGTTTTTATGCCAGTATCATAATGTTTTTATTCTCTGTTGAGAAATAAGAAAAATGAAGGAGATAAAGTGGTTAAATGGAAAAGGAAGAGAGCAAAAAAAATACTCCCTAAGAAACCACCAGTCACACCAGCCAGAAAAGTAGGCAGATAATCTTCAAATCTTCAGACCTTCACTCTCCCTCCTCTCCTCCAACTCCAATCCCCCAGTCTCCAATCCCCCTAGTTCTGTAGCAGATCACCTGTTGTGATCTCCCCTTCCTCCCTGTACATGTCCAGAGGATCAAGCAAATCTTCTCC